GGTGAGTGAAAGGCCTTTCTTGGTCCCATTGCACAAGATCAGGTTACTTGGATCTTTTAATCTTGTAATGCATTGATTGTCTATCTGGAGAATAGTGCTGACAGCAATGTCACTCTCTTTCTGGCATGCATTTGAATTGTTGATTTAGGTTAAACTTTTATTCTTCACATCCAGCCCATTACAAGGCAGTGGTTTGGAGCTGGGAGGTGCTGCTGTTGGGCAAGTTGTGTTAGGTCTGTGTATGGAAACGTGCAATTCCTGCCCTTTCCGTACCACCTAGGATTAAGCTGTGCAACTCCTACTGATTTTTTAAAATGACAGATTCTGTGCTTTTCACCTTAAAACTCAGAAAGAATTGTGCTCCAAAGACTGTGGCTTAGGAACCATAAAATTCTGTGGAATTCATGGCATGCACTGTGATTCTTCACCACTCCACCAGTTCTTTGTAACTCCCCTTTAAAAAAATGTTCTACTCTCTGATCTCATATCTTTTGGATCTCACCATTTTCCATCTAGCATAAGAGGAAAAAAAAGCCTGTTTTATATGTGAAACAGTGTATTTCTAAGAGATGATGGGGACAATTTCCTGTCGATTCCCATAACTGCTCTCTCTGTTCTCCTGTCATAATGTCCATAAGACACTGCACAGAACTGAAAGACTAGAATAATGTTTTTGGTTAAGATTAAGTTTAATATACATCTATGGAGTAAGCCTATTCATAAAATCATAGAGTATCTCAAGTTGGATCAGGTCCAACTCCCCGCTCCTCACAGTTTATCTAAAACTAAACTAGGTGGCAGGGGTTGGAATTAGATGATCTTTAAGGTTCCTTCCAACCCAAACCATTCTATGATTCTATGACTAAGAGCATTACCCAGTTATACTATTGTATTTCACACTAATTTGAAACAAGCATTACTACAGCATATTTATGCTTCCAGAAAATGTGCAGCAGTCATCTTTCAGTTGCAGCACCTTTTGATGCAAGTACCTTCTGATCCTTTGCAAAGACTACTGTAAGGAGTAGTTGCTGAAGAAACTGAACTTAGAGCAGTAAAATGGGGAGCAGAATCCCTCCTAGGAGCTGTTAGCAGAAACTTACTGCGTGGAAGGGATGGTCAGTCACTGGCTACTTCCACAGTAGTGTTTGGTGCTGCCATTGCAGCTCTAAAGCCCTAGGATTCCCGATAGCTTTTGTTGCACTATTTGGAATTCATCTTTTCTCTTGTCTTGGTGCATGAGGCTGCTATAGAGACTTAACTTGATGGCAGTGATTCTGTTTTGAGAAGGTTTTGCTTGGTTTGGTTTTGAGTGACCTGTTCATGAGGGCTAGCTTTTCAAAGTGCACTGAGCTCCCATAAATTGTATTGGGCATTCAGAACCATTAAGCACTTATGAAAATGCCTTTGTCCTTGTTTCAGACCCCTTGAATCTGCAGTTAGACTAGCGTGAGGCAGTACAGATAAGACAACACCAGACAGAAGGGTAGGATGCACCCACAGCTGCCACAAAAATTTACACTAATCTCACCCTGTAGTGAAAAGTAGAGATAGGGATGAATGAGAAAGTATTTACTATTTTATGACTTAATAGCCACATAAGCAGTTTTTAATTTGACTGTGGAACAGTATTACTTTATTTTTCCATCAAATTAAGAGTCTAACTAGTCATGTATTATGGAGAAACATTAACATGAAAGAAGCAGTTAATCAACTTAAGGAGATTTGTCTTCACCAACTTTCAACTGAGCTGTTGCTGAGTAGGTACAAATCTTAAGTGTAAAAGGAGAGTTTAGTTGCATCACTCTCCAGATTGATGTTTTTGCAGAAGGAGAAAGACTGTAGTGTGGAAGCTATCTATTGTTTCTCATCAAATAGAATTAATCTTGGTTTAAGTCAGTAATAAAGCTCATACAGTGTTTAAATCTGTACATATGGTGCTTGGTTACACATAAAGCAGAGCCTGCAGCTCCCTGTGCAATGGTTAAATACACCTATGGTGAGGAAAACTGCCAAGGTGCTAGTAATCAGCCCTGTGTTAATTGCAAAGTATGGCTGGAAGACAGCTGTTAATTTGATTTTTAAGGTCAATTTTCTTAGGCAAGATTCAGGTGTATTATTTTTCCTCTTGTTTTCTTTACTTATATAATTTCCTTGTATAATAATGTGTAATATATTGATTTCCTTCTCATTCAATTCATTGCTTAGTATAAAACCTGTAGAGGTGAAATAATCTAATTCCTTTTCAGCCTAATTATACATGGGTCTTAACTGTTTTGTTGAACTTTGCATTTCTCATGTTTAAAAAAAAAAGTTAGATTTAATGATTAGGTCAAGAGAATAAAGATAAAATGTTGCAGATATGCCAATTTGGCTGTGAATTACCATCCTCCACTTAAATGGGAATGGTTAATTTTTTGCACTGAATGGTTTGGAGTTTTTGTTAATGTACTTATCAGTTGTGATGTAGATACTAGCCCATAGTATGTATCTGAAATTAAGGGCTATGTTGAGTTCAATCCATTAAACTGCTACAGAAAATTAGTATATCTGTGCAAGACTAGGTGCACATGACGATATTTTTAGCAAGCTCTTCATCTGCTCTCATTTTCCATTGCCTCACTGACTCAGTCTCCTTTGCTACCTCTGCCCTGCTCCAGCATTTAGGTACTGGTCAAAGCACTCAGCACAGCAGAAGAATCTCTACACGCTCATGACTCTGCTTTCACTGTACTGATTTTTACCATGTACTCATGTTTCTCTCTTTCTTCCGAAGGCTGCCTTGCCTAATTTTGTCCACAGTGAATGTTCTGTGTAAACAAACTGCTCTCTTCCTTCCCCTCAGTAGCATGTGATCTCCCCCTCCTTGTCATGTCCTCCTAGAGTCATATAACTAATTAAAGGTTGTTTGTACATAGCTGACTGTAATGTTTACGCTGCTATTAAATTTATTGCAATAGCATCTGCCACTGCCTAATAATGTGAAGAATGGAAAACAGAAAACTTGGCTTAGTGGAGTGAACAGTGGAAGGGAAGGATGGAAACTAGAATAGTGAACAGTGTTCCAAAACCATCAGATGGCTTGTATAAAGAATAGATTCACTTCTAGCAGCAGGTTTTAGAGAGCAGCAGCAAATGGGATTCCCACAAATCAGCCATGGCAGCAGTTTAGGGCAGGTTAACCGTGTTCTGCAACTGCCATCACTTCATTTCGTGATGCAAAATAGAGGAATCTTAATCTAGCCGCAGAGATATTTTTTAGCTGAGAGCTGAGTCTAGCTGCAGAGAGTATTGCTTTCTTGCAGTCCCTCCAGAGATATTCCCTTTTCCTTTTTTGGCCTGTATTAAGATCCGGTCCACATGCTGAAATCAGTATGTGTTCTTGCATCGGACCCAGAGTTTCCCTGGCTGCCATTCCCATCCAGAGGGTTGTACCATCTGTAGGTATATTACCTCTCTTCCTCTCCCCCTAAATTGTCCTCACACTAGGGTTACATTTGCCATGGTGTTTAAAAAACCATATATATTAACAAACCAGATTTTTCTATTCAGAAGTTAAATTTCACAGTATTCTCGCTGGGCTGAAAGCCATGTTCTGAAGTGGAGCATAACATCGTTTGTTCCAGTGGTATGGTTATGTTAAATGAATTCAGATGATTAGAGCAGGGAAAGTCCTGCATATCATAAAGCTTGCTGGCACTCCAGTTGCTCGTGTTGCAAGCCTGACTGTGTGAAGGAGGCAAAGAAGGATCCCCCTGATACCTCACTGGTGCTGGGGCACACACCTCTCCTGCTGTGCTGTCTGATGCTGATCCCACCGACGATGTCATCCCAGGGGAGAGCAAAATGAACCCTACATTTTGCTTAGGCCTCTGAAGAAGGAATCTAGAGAAGGGATTGGGACCTGTGTCCCCATTCCAGCTCTGAGGGTAGCTGTGGGCTGGTAGCGTTGGGTTTTCATTTCTGTAGTGGTGGAGTGATGGCAAATGTGTTTGTCATCCATGGTAGAGATGGCCCGAGTGCTGTAGGAGGTTTTGTATGCATAAACTAATGAAGGGCCCTTCTACTCCCATATCCTTGTGTCTCTGTATTTTAGGGGTTTGTATTTAGATCTGAGAAAATCTCTTTGTACTTGCAAGTTTCCCTGGACAGGTGGACTGTGGGAGGGAATGGGAGGACAGAGACATTCTTAAAAACACTGCTAATTAAATATTTGGAATAAGAATCTATTTTGTGTTGCTGGCTAAGTTATACTAATTCTTAGTTATTTAGAGATTCAGTGGCTAATGCTACAGGTAATCAAATAGATTCCTAGCTACAGTTTCATTGCTTACGATGCCATTCTTGAAATGAAGAGTAAAATCTTCAGCCCCTCCACACCGGCACTGGGGGGCTTCTAGACTAACCATTTGCGGGAGAGCTGAGCACGCACATGACCAATGTGATCAAGCAATGCCCGTTTATTACAACTAAGAAAGCCCTTTTATAATGTTCTCCCGCACACGTGAGTAACATGCAGTACAAGTCCTCAAGACAGGACAGTTAACTTAGCCCGCGCTTTAAACCTTCTTATGATTGGATAAAAAGTGCCATCAGCCTTGCCAGGCTTCCTGCCTTGTGTAACTGCCTCTTCCGTCCCAACCCCTTCCGGGGGTTGTTTGTCTCGTCGAGTTTCTCCCCCCTCATTCAGGGTCACATCCTTATCGCATTCTTGCTCGGCTGAGGCTCTTATCAGTCTTGTTCTCAGGCAGGATTGCTCACATGGCCATTCTCTCGCAGAAAGTCCTTTAGAATCCCAACAATTATTTTGATGACGAGATTAGAGCAGTTTTCAAGGTGTCATAAATGTTGAACTATTCCCACTGAAGCTAATGGGAGTTTTAGAAATCAGCATAGTAGTCAGTTGTAAAATATCTACTGCAATATAGTAGAAAAAGTGAAGAGCTTGATGTTCGTGCAGAGCAATCCTGTTTCACATTGTGGTTTTTTTGCTTTTGCAGGTGAAGAGTCTGCATTTTGCTCATCTGGCTTTCTACAGGAAAAACAACGTGAGTTGAAGTTCTCTTTTTTTTTCCTCTGTACTAAGTCTGTTCGACAGCTGGAGATGATAGAATAGAAATGTTGAGTAGCACAGCCCTGGTGTGATGTTGAGAAGGAAGATGGGTGTGGAGGGATCAGGATTCTTTTGATTTCTGTTTTAAACGTATTTATTTTTTATGTGGATTATGAAACTGTACCAAGAAAGTGCCCATAACATTATTTAATGCCTTATTTAATTAGTGCCTATAGCATTGGCTAGAGTGGCAGAGGTGGAGCATTGGAGGGTGAAGCTGCTGGTGTTCAGGGTGGCTCATACAGGACAATTCACTGTGGCATTGTGGCTTGATTTGGAGTGTAGAAGCCTCAGTGCCTTGTGCTCCGGACTTCCTTCTCCCATCTCTGCTTAAGGAGGTACAAGAGGTGTTGATGTTAAAGTTTTAGTGCTGTAGGAATGAAAATCAGTGCAATGCCTGGTAGTGCTAGTGTTCCTGTACTGCTGGTGCGCCACTTTGAGGAGTGTATTTATGTGTCACTGTGCTGTTGACCTTTCTGTTCTCTTGCTTTGATTGCTGAAGAGAGCAAATTGGCTTACAGAAACAAGTGGTGTTAATGAGGGTGTCTTCTTCCCTCACAGTTCTCTCTGGGAACAATTGTTGGTCGCCCTCACTGAGTCCACAGTGGTCTGTTCACTACTCCTGCAGTAGTGTTCGTAAGCACGTGCTGTCAGGCTGTGCCCACCCCTTCCCTTTGGAAAGGGAGATTTGCCCAGCTCCTCTGGCCTGGCCCGAGAACTGGAGCTGAGGAGCACTTGGGGTCTAGACCTTGGCCAAACCTGGGTGTTGCTTCTCCTCCAGCACTCACAATAGTCACGTACACGATCTGGTAGCATGTGTGTGTGCAGGACTCAGTCAGTGAGGAGAGACTGTGGAAGTTAGCAGAGGCATTGTCTCATGTTGTGGCTTCCAGAACAGGATTGGGCTTAGCCATGCATGCCATTATTTTCCTCTAAACCGTGCAGTTTGCGGAACTGCATCTGCAATGTATTACAATATTCTTTATCATTTGTTAATAGAAAGCATATGTTACAGCCTTCATGTGAACATATTTCTCATGACAGATTTGTCATTATAAATGGCTGGTAATAGCACAGCAGATGGCAAGAAATGGCATAATTTCTCATGGGAGTGTGATAATGGAAATAACAGTTTTCTTTGGGGACTACTACCACCTTATGCTTTGTTCCTAAAGCAAGTTCTCTTGTTTTTAACTCTCAGTCCCTCCCTAATTAACATGGCAAAATGTTACAGATGTTTGAAATGATCTGGGGGAGAAAAAAAAAGAAAGAGGACCTGGCTTGATTTTAAGTACATGTTTGAACTCTACTAAGAGACTGTAAGAGACTGTTTGGGCAATAGGTTATTTCAGGCATTACAAGACACATGCCTGCTTGATGTCTCTGTAAGTCCCTGATGAACGTGTACAACCTATGCTATATACACCAATTCCAGTGGGAATCCAGTCCAAACCAGTCCTTGCTGGAGGCGCTGGCTCACTGCTATCTGCAGCAGCAGTGCATGTTTCTGTCTCCAGAAATATCTGCTGGATCTCCTCCCTAGTCGTTAAACCAGTCGGCTCCGGTGGTGGCCACTGCTCCTGGGTATTGGCTGCTAGACTGAAAAGCAGTATAATTGTTGTAACGTGATTAATTTCGGACTGTGAGCTGTCCTTATAGTTCAGCATCTGATCAGCAATAGGTGTCAGTTCCTGTTTATACTCATCTCCTTCACCTTAATTTGTTTTGGTACCACATATTGCTAAGAGCCATGTAACTACTTAGGGTAGTTCTCAGTGAGCTGATACATGGTGCAGTGGCTGTCCTGACAAAAAATTCTTAATAATTCCTGCTGGGTTTTATAATGCAGCCTTATGTTTTAAATGGCATCAGTTGATGATCTCCCAAAAATTTGAACTGTTAAATTTCATACTGTTGACATAGTTATTTAGTAATGAGGTCATCATTTCCATGTGATGGTTGAGCACCTACTACCATCACAGCTATATCAAATTATTCACAGTACTTACATTTGGCCATCTCTTTAATTAAGGTTGCCAGGTATTCCAGATTGGCTGAGTTAGCCCCAGATTATGGGATGTGTCTCTAGGATGCTATTTTGTCTCAGATTTTCTTCTAGACATGGGATTTTCTGGTTTCAGTTTTCAGATTGGGTTAAGAGGGTTTACTTTTTCTCCAGATCTTCAGTCTCTCTCTCCTGCTTTCTCTTCCCACAAAGAGAATGGGATACATGTATTCTTTTCATTTGACTTGTTGCAGTTGGAATATAATGGATTAATTTTGTTCTTTCCATCCCACATTCTTTTGCTGTGGGTATCAGATTACAAAACTGTAGAAAGTTATGAAAGGTGTTTGTCCGAGCCTGGACTGCAACTCCTGAGCAGATCTTATATTAAAATGTCAACAAATATCCCTGGGGAGGAAATGGGAAATTGAATATTTAAAAAATTATTTGTTATTATTTTAATGAAAGTGCTCCTTCCCCTTTCCATCTTTCAGCTGTTGCTGCTCCAGAATGCTGAATTATCCAGCCCTGTGCCTGTACTACTCAGCTGGGCTGCCCAGAGCTATCTGGGAGGCTGTTGCCTAGTGCAGAATGGCAGTGCTGATTCCCTGTAATCACTTCAGCTGATGAAATTTCATAAATATATAAGCCAAAGAATTGGGAGAAGCCATGCCTGAGGAAGGGATAGCAGAATTACTCCCTCTTGCATTCAGTGTGTGGGTTTGAAACTTTCTGCTATTGAAGAAGCAATAAAGATTTGAGAGCTAATAAATATCTGCAGATTTCTGAATGAAGAATAGGCAAGGTTGTGCTTCTAACAAATAGTTTTTGACCATACATTGGTTGATTAGTGGACTATGAGGTTTTGAATAGCTAGACAGTAATTACTTTCTTGGCGCTTGTCAGCAGTGTTCTTGTGGTGTGGGAAAATTACTGGGTACTAAGGTTAGGTTCTGCAACATGTGAAAACATTCTGATGATACGCAAAACCTGTATCTGTATTTCTATTTCATTTGTATTCCTGCTTGTTGGATTTTGTGCATTGACTTTCTGCATTTTAAGATTCCAGTGCACAGTCTAGAAGGGGACAGCTCAGGCCTGGGGAAGGCGAGATCTGAGTTAACACCACTTTCACCCTACGAGAACCCGTATTCTAGTTGAGAGAGATCTTCAATATCCACAACCCCCATCCCTGCCCTCCTGTGCTGCTGCAGGGGAGGACGTAGAGAATTTGGGAGTAAAGTTGAGCCTGGGAAGAAGGGAGGGGTGGGGAGAAGGTGTTTTAAGGTTTGTTTTTATTTCTCATTATCCAGCTCTGATTTGATCAGTAATAAATTAAAGTCAAGTCTGTTTTGCCTGTGACAGTAATTGCTGAATGATCTCTCCCTGTCCTTATCTTGACCCATGAGCCTTTTGTTATATTTCCCCTCGCCTGTCCAGTTGAAGAGGGCAGTGATAGAGTGTCTGAGTGGGCACCTGGTGTCCAGCCAGAGCCAACCCACCACACTCAGGTGCCACACTGAAGCAAAAATTTGACCCAGGCCTTATATCCTAGCCAGGGGTTTGTTTTTTTCTATTTCACTAGTCTGCCCCAAAGTGGATTTACACCATTTTCTTCCTTTGATTCTGACTGCATTTATGAGCGTGGTAAAGTGTTGTACCTTAAATCCATCATATGCCATTTTTCTTTCTGTCCTCAGTGGAGTCTTACACACATGGTAGTTTTGTGATTTAGCAGAATTTTGTTTCTTGTTATTTTGTTTTTAATTTTAGCTTTTATTTTTCTTCATTGCCATGCTACTGTACGTTCAGCTCTGTTCTCTGACAGGCAGAGCGTTTTGCAGGCGAAGTGGGAGGCATAAAGTTTTGTGACAGATGAGTTAATTCCACAGTCTCAGACTAGCTCTGGAAAAGATGTTCCCATCTGCAGAGGCAAGATTAGTTACCCTTTTAGAGGGAGGACATTGCACCTTAGAAGCAGAACAACTGATTGTGACTTCTATCCTGCTATGCTGCCTGGGCTGAGGAAGCATCTGGGAAAAAAGATACTAGGAATTTGCATTCTGATTTGTAGCCTGCAGGAAACCAATACACTGATACTAGGCCAGGTTCACTCAACAGCATGAAGGACTCACTCTGCTCAGTAATGCAAGCCAGGGCTGTGTAGGGTGGCTCAGCAGCTGATTTCTAGATTGAGGTTTTCAAGTATTTTGCTCCCAGGAAAGCATTAAAGCAAAGCTCAGTGTGTTTGGAGACCTGGTTGCTTTTGTAAACTTGGACGTTAGGACAGCCACTGCTTCCACAGCCCACTACTGACCCGTTTCTTTGGGTGTCTGCAGAGGCGCTGACCTTGAGGAATGAGATTTCAGCGTGTTCTCCCATTCCCATGTCTGCTCTCCTCATGCTGGATTTGAGAAGCCTAGTGGAACCTAGCTGGTGTATTTGTAGGTTTATTAAAAGCAAGACAAAAGAGATGAACAGAAAGTTTTTAATGTAACCCCACCCTGACCTTTCCTGACTGTATCACTAGCTGTTAAAATGGAAGCTGTGACAACCCACTGGTTTTTGACTCTGGGATTTGAGTACCTTTTTTGTTACTGTAATTTACATAATGATACAATTAACATAAATTGGTATAATGATGGTATGAATCAAGACAGCTTGAAAAATCTGTAAAATGTTGATAATGTCATTAGAGAGGTTCGGTCCAGCAAAACCATGTTATTATTTTACCTCATTAAAGCCCTTCCGGCAAATAATAAAATACATAATTTCTCTGTAATCAGTTTCATTTCAGTGCCTAATTAAATTTCTGTCGTTTTCTCTAGTAGGTCATGCTGTCCACTTACTTCTGTCTCCTACAGAGCTTTAGCTGCTGAATAGTCTTACCCTTTATATTGTCATCATGACAGAGAAGGCCCATCAGTTATTTAAGTCTCTGTTATTTAACCTAAACAGTAAAGCTAAAGCTATGTAGACCCAAAATCTGATTATCTTCCAAAGTATACAATCATCAGATCTCTTGGAATGTCACATGCATGACACAGCCCCCTGCCTCCCCCACTGTGGGACTGGTTTGTTTTTTGTTTTTTTTTTTTTGGGGGGGGTTGTTTTTTTTTTTAAAATATATTTTAGATTTCCTCATTCTTTTTATGTTAAAACCGTACTTCAAGCTGCAGATTTTCAAATCCAGAGAGTATACATTCCAACATTACTGCAGCCTGAACTTTTGGCAGTGTAGCAGTGTTCTGAAAACAGCTGAACTGTGCACGTTGGTATGTCTGAAAGAAAGGAATACCTTGTATGCTTCCATAGCCTGATCTGTGTGTCATCATTTCTGTAATCTCTAATATTACAAGTTGATATCGTGCTTTTTTCTTTCTTTTTCTCCGCTGAAGTGAGAAAGCAGTTTTGAAAGAAGCCCAATTTTATGACAGTGGGCTATTGTCGTAACAACTAACAATAGTATAGAAATTGTGATTAAAACAGTGCTTAGAATCATAGTGTCTGGCTATCTGTGACATTTTTGTGTGTGCAAAGCAAGGAACTATGCTGCAACCTGGCATGTGGTGCATTAAGGAAAAAGCAAACCACCCTCTCTGCTGTCTAAGAGTGTATCTTTAGAGCAAGATTTTTAAAGGAACAGCACCCAAGTAATCCGAGGAAGTATTTTGTCTGGTGCATTGCACTGTATAGATAACAGCAGAGATTTGTGAGCATGTGATAACTCCTGGGTTTCCTCTTTCAGTATTCTCTTGAAGGTAAATACTTGCGGTTCACTATAAGGTGGTGCCTCATGGCCCTGAATAATCCTTTTTCATGTCACAAAACTAGTGTTTCTGGAGTACTGGTTCTGTTATGAGCTTAGGTGTTAAAAACCTGACACTTCTTGGTCTGATGACCTTCAGAAAAAAGCGAGTCTTCTGGGCAGGCTTTTGGAAACATTGCTTAATTAGAAGCAGCTTTAAATTGCAGAGGCTTGCAGAAAGCAATTGCATTTGGTGGAAGTTCAGTGTTTATGGGTGTGTGTTGTTGCACTTGGGTTTGTTTTCTGGTGTTTTGTTTTTTGTTGTATTGTTTTGTTTTATACAAGTATTAAATGCCTAATCCTTTAAATCCTTGCCTGCCAGAAATGCAAGAATAATTACTTTGCTTTTATATATGTTGAAACAGCCACAGATAAATTTCCAGTGGCTATAAGGAATGATAATGGTAGAATCTGCTGCAGAATTAGCTCTCAGTCCTAATGCAGAAGAGTAGAGTGTTTGAAACGTGTTTTGGACTAAATTCAGTGCTTTTAGAATAACCTGGCCAGACCCGGCTTAACTGGTGTTCTTGGTGAGGAGACAATTACAGTCTGCTCTCCTAGGGTCTGGCAGACTGTAAACATATGTCAAATGGAGTGGAACCATAAACAGGGTGTGAACTCAGAATGCCAAAAAGAAAAAGTAAACTGAGTCATCTATAGCATTTTGTGATGCGTTTTTCCTCTGACATGCTGGAAGAAACAGAGGAAAATGTGTTTAAATCCAGACAGCTGTTAGTGAACCACTTTGGTATTATTATTTAGTACAATCCTCTCTCATTAACTCCTAAAACTTGTGCCTGTCATGGAGGGAGGAAGGTCTCCCAGTTTTTCTCAGAACGGCTAACCCTTGTGAGGTGAGTAGAATTTTAAGACTGCAACACCACAGTCATCTGAAGTTTTAAATTACAGATTTTTGATGTTGACATTCAGAGGGGTTTCAAAGCCTCCTCCTCCCCCCATGAGAGGTAGGAGAAGGTGTTACAGAGATAGGAGGATTCACATCTTGTCTGGAATTTCATCACTGTCTGTAGAAGGGAAGAACACATTCCCTTGGTGCTGCTGCTGGAGAAGGGCACAGGTGACCAACAGCAGCTGTACTGGTACCACACACCTTTGTATAAGGTCCTGAATCCTGTTCTAAATGTTTCTGTTAACAGGAGAGACTCTGTAATATGTAGGGCTGCAAGGAACCTTGTCTATTTTTCTATTTGTCCGCAAGATTTCCCATGAACAGATCTTTCAGTCTTTAAAGTAGAAATGTGCCTTACCTCCACATATGTCTATAAAAGATGAGGTAGCCAAATATTTATATGATCAGTTATGTCTCTTTTCCTTCCAGGTGAATTATATAGAGCATCTTTAAGAAAACAAAGGGTCCCAGCACAAGGCAGCCTTGAAATACAGGAGGACAGCGAGGTGAGATTTCCCAAAACAAGCTGTGCTGATTTCCAAGGAGCAGACATGTGGAAAGGCTCTCATATTGTATTATGGAATTATAAACCCATTTGGTGGCTTAGTGTGTCTTTCCCTTGTTCAGAAGGGGCACTGAAAACCATCACAAGCTTTTTAGACATTGCATAATTAACTGGTGGAAATATGACCCAGTTCTCTGAAGAGAAATTTTTATTTCTACTTAGTGCTTCAGTGGAAATGCAGGTTTCATGGAGCAGATTCAGCAGCAGTCATGAAATTGATAGTAGCAGAATTGCTTTTTTTTTTTTTTTAGACACAGCAAAGAATCTAGACACTTTGTGTTCTTTCCAGTTAACCGATTAAGGTCCTCTGTCCACACACTAGGCAGGCAACAGAAATGTCTACTTTTCTGTTTTTGAAGAATTCCAATCCTACAGCCCCCTGAACATGATGACAGTCTTTGACTTCGGATGTCCTTGTGATTAGCTCGAGCCCCTTGTCTCATGGCTGAACTGCTGAGATGCAAATTAACTTAATTCCCTTGGAGTCTTCCCTTGAAGGATGCCAGTTAAATCCAGCTGACAGACTTTTTGCAACAATGACTTTAGCAGTGTTGACCCACTTGAGTTTTTCCCTCTGCTTGGAAGCTTTCAGTTCCACCAACCCATCAGCACTGCCACTTATTTATAAACTGGCATTGGCTGCAGGAAGAGCTACTCTTAGCTTTTAAAGGCAATTAAATTTCTCTTCTGAATAACTGGAATGGGACCATATGAAGAGTGAAATAGTAAATTAGAGCAAGGAAAAGTGAAACCTTAAAAATTCTAGTAAAATCCAATACTTAAGCAGATAAAGGCAGGTCAGCAAAACTGGACACTAAAAATTATGGGCTGAACAGAGATATAGTGGCTTTATGGAACAACTTATAATTCTCTCACTTTCAACCATTTCTCTGTCACCATTATACAGGTGCTGAAGTTACCAATTTCTTTGTCTTATCCACGTCAACAACATTTACACCCCTACCCCTCACTAAACTGCAGCTTGAAATGTATGTGTGTGTGTTTTCTTGTTAGCTTTTGTAACTAATGTTAAACTCAGAGCAATTATTCTCATTTTGTATTTACCATTGGAGACTGTAGATTTCGTTACAGAATTTAAGAACAAAGTGTCCAGAACTACCTGATTCTCAGTATATCACCCTATCTAACAATTAACAACCCTCAGACAAATACATGTTACCATTATTTTTATTGTGTGTTCGTATTTGGTCAGGAGCTAGGAGTCTCCAGGTATCATGTGATCCAAAGTGGATAAGAAAATGGCAATAAAGCTCTCCTAATATTTTAATGCATTACTGAGTTCTTTGAGTGCACATAATTCTCAAGGGGTAAAGAAGAAAAACAAGTGGAGTTGTGAGACACTCAGAATGTTTTTCCAGTCTCAAGTAGATAACATCTTGTTTATTCTGCAGAGCACACTGATTATTGTCTGTTTATGCACATATTCACATGTTTGTAAATGTATTTGTGAGGTTTATGGATATCAGCAATGATACATTTTTTACTCTTTCAGTAGATGTCTGGGTAAGTTATCCCCATTTTTCATTTTAATATGAAGTTGTTAGTCTCAAAAGGCTGAGGTAACTGTATCATCTGCTTTTGCTGGATGTTTTCACTGTCAGAGAAATTTGTCTTTTTAGAACCTGTGATGATTCGAGTTAGAACCTTTCCAGTAAATGCAGCAGCCTTGTTCGTGGTACTTTGACAGATGTTCGCTTAGTCTGTCTGTGGCTGTTGGAACTCTTCTTCAATCTCAAGATATTTAAAATAGCATTTGATGTACACAAAGCTGTTTATATTCTTTGATCTGAAACCTGCGCGTGCACGCACACACACACACACACACACACACACAGACCTCATGAAGGCAAATATCACAGAAGGATCACAGTGGGGGTGGGAGGTTAAAAATCACTGCTAACTGCTTGTAAATGTTGATACCAGCACTGTCAGTAAAAATGCTTCCTCCCTTCTTATTCCCTTTTTTTCTCACAGGAAGGAGTTCAACAGCAGAACTGCAAAACTCATGTGCTAATTTTGATCCTACATGGGGGGAACATCTTGGACACTGGCAGTGGAGACCACAGCAGCAAGCTAGCAGACATCAACACCTTCAGTTCTGTGTTTGAGAAGGTGACACGAGCCCATTTCCCTGCTGCTTTGGGCCACATCTTAATCAGACTTGTTCCCTGCCCAGCAATCTGTTCAGCAGCTTTCTCTCTTGTTTCTAAGTAAGTTGATTTGCATTTTCTAATATTTGGCTTTGCAGTGTGGTTTTGAATGGCTTTCTGTGACCTGTCTTTCTCATAATGAAATGTTGCAGATCCTTCTTAATCTTTTGATTATTGCAAGATGTGAAACAATCTTTCATCCTTTTCTAACTGGATATATTTGTTTAAAAAGAAAAAAAAGCAAACCCAAAACAAAACCCAAACCCCCCAAACGTGTTGTCCAAATGCATCCAAGAGAAAAAAAAAAAAAATCCAGAAGAAATGTGGACAGAAGAAGAAAACTGATAACTGTTAACTTCTCTTTGCCCCCTCTCCCCCTGCCTAATGTGACCCCAAAATATCAGTAGTCAACTTCTATCTTACTTTAAAATTGAAACAACTAGATCTGCATCCAAATATGCCAGCTGACGTTTGTCTATCTTACTTATCTGTTCATTATTTGGACACTGTAGGGACAGGATGTTACGCAAACCCTCCTGATAGTTTTAATGCTTCCTCTTTTAGAAACCAAAATGGCATATTGCTAACACTGGTTTAGGAATAAAGTGGAGACTGTGAAGCGTTGCTGAGAAACTTAGACTGATTTAAGTAAATTCTGCTTTGCCCTGGAAAATTGAGAACAGAAAGAAATATCTAAAACAAGCAATTTAACACGTCTTCTTGGTGAGAGAGAATTTACATATGAACACAGTTTTTACATTTTAAGATGACAAAACTTCATCGAGTCCAACTGTAAACCTAACAGTGCCAAGTTCACCACTAAATCATGTCCCTAAGTGCCACATCTACATGTCTTTTAAATACCTCTGGGAATGGTGACTCCACCACTTCTGCACTCAAAGCAAGAATATAACTGTGACCTGATAACTGTGCATCAGCAGTGGTACATTTTGAAGCTCTTGTGTGCATGCTCATATGAAGGGTATTGTCACCTTGCAAAGCTATTGCTGCTATTTAACAACTGTTGGGTGTATGGCACTAACAGATACACACTCTTTTCAACAGTGGTGTGAGATGTGAAAAATTATGTGTAGCAGTTCCTTCAGGGGAGGAAATAGGACTCTAGTTATAGTGTCCACTTGGGGATCAGGAGATACAGATACTGTTCTTGGGTCTGTAATGAATTTCCTGGTTGACCATAAATGAGAAAATCAGTCTGTCAGTGCCTCACTTCTCAAATTTGTTGAACAGAAAAAAGGCTAAAATGATTTAAGGAGGAATTTTTCTGTCATTAACCAAAGATCTAACATAAGACCTGAGAAAGAAACAGGGAGATTTCTGCTGTCTAGGCTGTGCCTCTAGCCTAGATATATCAGATATATCAGAAAAGCCTAAGGGATGTAGGAGTTAGAGGGCACTGTGGTTAAGGCCTGTTCCCTGCAGGCTGGAAAGGAAACTGCTATGCCGAGACTTTACTCTGACAACTGGTACCTTGTTAAGCATGAGAGGAGGTGGTTTGTGAGGGAAGGAGAGTGATCTGGGTGTGTGTTTGTCACATTATCATCACTGAGGAGCAAAGACTGATCTTAGCCTGGATGATCAAGACGTTACACTTTGGTTCCAAGCCTGTTAAATGGCCAGGCAGCCTTGTAAGGTTCATGCAAAGATGAGGACTATAGCAGCAATAGTGTAACCAACTCAATTTTACTTTTTTTCCCCTACTGAAACAACTTTTGCATACAGCATTATTTGCACACTGAGTGGAAGTTTTAGCAGGTGGTGAGCAAACTTTCCACTGAGTGCTGTGTGATTGGCTTCCACATCATCGTGATGATAATCTATTATATTCCATCAGTTCTGGTAGCGCAGTTCTGATTGTGCTCTAGTTCTGCTAGCCCAAGCAGTAGTCTAGAAGGTTGTTGAACAGACACAGAATTTTCAGTAAGGGAAAGGATTAAAATCTTAAAATCTTTTTGATGTTGTTATTTATTCCCATGGCTCTATTGAAATTAATTTAGAAATAACAAATGGAATTTTCCATTGGATGTGTCCTCTTCAGTAGATGCTCTTCCTCACCCACTTTTTCAGTCTTGCAATTCTCTCGTTAGATGAGAGAACCTTTTCAGGTAACATTTCCTTCCTTAATGGTATTTTCCTTGATATAAATATTTCAAATGGTGTGAGAGAGAAAGGAGAAAGAAACACATGCTCTTGGGCCTGCTTCAACTTTACACTTTACAAGTGTAAACCAGGAATAACTAGTGAACTCTGCAGTGGTGAGGAGGAGACAATCAGATTCACTTGGTTTCTTCTTTTCTAAGCAAAGAAGAGCTTTTCCTAAGTGTTGGTCACTTTTATAGTCTTTTTTTTGTTGCAGTATGTTGCCCAAGGTTACATTTGAACCTCATGTCGAGCAGAAAACCCTACAGAAGACTTGAGGAGGTCTACAACCATGTTTTGGACCATAAGATGCAGGAATGTTGATGCCTGCTGTCCAGATGACAAAGTTAGGGAGGACAGATGGGGAATATATTAAAGTTCTGAAATACTAGGTGGACATAAAGCTGTGACAAGCATATAGGAAGAAGAGGTGGCAGGGTGCAGACTGGTGGAAGGTGTGCCTGGCAGTTTGCATCAGGGGAATACACTGAAACAACCAGGAGAGTAGAAGTGTGTGTATGTCCAAGTCGCTGCCCTGTAAAGGGAGAGGACTGGTAGTAGAAGAGGAGGTGAAGCATCGAAGAGTGTTTGGAAGATCACCCTTGCCCGTTTGGGCCGTTGATTAGCATGGGGCTTGGTGGTGTCTCTCAGGCATCCCATAATGTGGGGCCTGCAGGTCTCAGCTATCTGGAAGAAGAGCTGCTCAAGTGGAAGGAAAAGTGTGTGATGGCAGCCCAAATGAACAGAGCTCTTGCTTGCTTTCCCTGGTTTTTGATTCCCTCTTGCTGCAGCACACGGTATTCAGCCAGACTGGAAATAGCCAAGCTGGGTGTGTGAATGTCCTGTGGAATCATTCCCAGTGCTGACAGAAGATTGGTATTGCTGTGGTATGTTCTTGCATGGAGCTGCTCATGATGTACCCATTAGGGACTGACAAAAGGAGAAATGATTCCCTGCGCCCACATTTTTGCAGCTTCATACCAGCATCTTTCACAGCCAGAACTCCAGGATGCAGTTGTGGAACATAAACTTGTGGTAAACATTCCATTTGGCAAACTGTAGGGGAGGAAGTGTGTTTTTAATTACTGTGATATTTCATCGAGGGTGAGCCAGATGACTGACTAAGCAGCAGCAGTAGCAACAGCATAAGATTTGTGCTTGGTTTGGGTGTATCCTCCATTTCCTGCATGCGCATGCATAGTGTGTGCCGAGGTAGTACAACCCTCTGTTTACCTTGGTGTAGGTTTTGAATCATTCTGTGTCTGTGTACTGAGTGCCTGGGTTCAGAGGGGTTCCACTGGGACTTTTCTTCTGAATGCACCTGTGCAGTTCTCCTCTCTGCCTGGAGAAAAGGAAAAGGATCTTTCAGGGCAATATCACTCCATCTGGTAAATGTTTCAGATTGTTTAATCTGGTCTGCTCCCATCTACTCCCATCACTTTCAGTTTCCTGTATCTCTCATCTAGATCAGAAAGACAGTGTTTATGCAACCTGTGTCAATTTATAATGCATGGCTCATCTCCTGCTGCTAAGGACAAGTAAGAGTTAAAACTAAGGCACATTCTTGTTCCAGCTAGATGATTTGAGAGCCACCTCTTCCCTTCTCAGGGAGAAAAATATCCCAGCGTGGATCAACTGTTAGGCTTTTTATAGCACATGATTTGATGAGCACACACTGGTTCACACCCCAGACTAGAGTGTCTAAATTACAGTATTAGCCAAACTGGAGAACAGCAACTGCAAATCTGGGGGATTAGGGGACAGAGAGAGAAGGGAAAAAAAGGCCAAACCAGCAGTTACATTTAGAAAGCAAACACTTAAGTAGGAAAGTTCACATTATGAATAATCAAATGAGATTGAAGTGTTTTATTGGATAAGTGTTGAAGTGCTCAGCACCTTGCATGCTCCTTGTACAGTGGTGGGTTCCTGAGTGTAAGCTCTCGGTGCTGCATTTTCCTCATCAATTTTTTAAAATACTTTTATAATTTAATTAGAAAATATATGGAGAAGTTCAGTCGTTATGATGTATTTTCTATTCCTTGTTTTGATTTAATCCTGAAAGTGGAGTAAGTAAAAGCAGTCTGGCATTCACAAACAGCAATAGCACGTCCCTAGGAGTGTCACTGTGGAGTGCAACCAGCCAAACTATACATGTCAAAAAACTGTTGTGTGACAGTTACCCAAACAAGTGTTACCGTATGGGTGATTTCCCCCTCTTCTTTCTCCTCTCACCTCTGCCACGGTCAGGGATTGCTGGCCTGAGGAAGTTTTGAGGAGGGACCAGTCTTTTGTCTTGATCTGCATCTAGCCAGATGCTTTCTGCCTTCAGAACAAGCTTTTATTCCCTTGTTCCATCTCCAGCCTTTGTGCAAGTGTGGTGTTTCCAAGCTGAAGCTCTGGAATGACTAGCTGTGTCCTGCCAATGCATCAGCATAACAAGACGTGCTCCTCTCAGCTCCAGTGCTGATATTACCTGTTTGTCTCAGCTTCAGCACTAATACTTAGCACTTGTGATACACAACTTCATCTCGTCCATACACTCTATCAGTGGTCTAGATATTTCTTCCCTTTGTGTTTTGTCTACAAGTAACAACAGAGGTCTCTGTGGCTTCAACCTTTATAATAAAATAAATTGGAATTAAACCCAAACCCTCATTTCTAAACCAGTCTAGTTAATAATTGCTCGATTTCAGTTTGATCTGTATTCCTTTAGCTATGAAAAAAAACACCCCAGCTGTTTATTTTTATGTTGACTCTATTTTGTGTAGTTCTCTTGTGAATATTGTTTGCATTTTACTTCTATTATGAAAACATGCAGGTATTTTTCTTTTCGATTTCAAACATTCACTTGATAATCTTTTTCCTCCTGTGTTTCTCCCTTTCTGATGTGTTACCTGCCAATTGTTATAGTAAATAAGGCCTTTTTATGTCAGTTTTTAAGGTTTGGTTTTTGTTTTTGAGAATTTAGTATTCATAACTGTATGTATGCTGTGCATTTGGATGATCAGATCAGCTGGCAAAATGGAGCTGTGTTAATTGGTAAATTGACATAGCTTGGCAGACCAGCTGAGCTCCAGGACATAGAAACTGTTACACTACTTTGGGTGAAAAATACCAAATCATTGGAGTTTTTCAGCAAGAGAAGCGTGGAAATTCCCGTGAGGCTCAGGACATGAACACAGACCAGCTTCCATACTTGAGCATCGCACATCTTCTGTTCTTCTTCCATTACCCTGGTAATAGTCTCAAGGATGCAGGTTTTAGCAAAGACAGACTAATTCCATCTTGGACAGCTTGCTTTTTAATATTGTGACAGCCCACCAAGTTCCTAAAGAAAGTGGATACAGAATAGTGTTGAAGTTGCCTGCCTGCAGCTTTGGATGAACTGAATTATCTGAAATAGATTCGACTTTCCTTTAATCTCTAAAGGACAGTCAACTACCTGTAAGAGAACACACTAACGTGCCTTGCATCTTTGGCTCTGTCTGAATTGTTTTCCCCACTCACCAATAAAAATCAGTCAAGACACGATTGGCAGATTTACTGAGAAACTTCCAGGGTGCACATCCAAGCTAAAATAAAACTGACATCCTTGTGCTTTCAGTCAAGTCACCTCTTTTTTGCAGAATGTTACCATGCAAACATTTACATGTGATCTCAGAATGTGTGCAGCCTTGTTCCATATTTTTGAAAGGATAGGACACTGGGAAAATTGTTTTTGGATGCTTTTGAACAAAAATTCACTCAAAACCACACAAAAATCTGTCACACGTGTTCTAGAAAGCAATATTCCGTTGTGATGATTGGGTCCCATTCTTTGATGCAGTAAGTGATTATATGGAAAAAACCACCCTGAAACAGAATAATCTCTTTGCTGTTCTAAATTATGTCTACTTGTATGTGGAAAATTTGCACATAGTATGTTTAACTACAGAAATGCTTTCTAGCATGATCTCACACACATAAAGCAGTAACTCGATTTTTTTAAGCAGCTGAATTCTGTGAGAAAATGATCCTTCCTGTATTCTCTTACTGTGAACTGCAGCAGCCCAACCCATTTCTATTAATAAGTACCTGTTTATTCTCTAATGCTGTGTGCTGCCTCTTGCATTTCTCTGATGACAGCATGTCCTTCTCTAGTCTAAATCCCTACAGCTACGATGAGAACTGTCTCAGCAGCAGTGAAGACCACATCCCACTGGCTGCCTTGCCCTTGCTGGCTGTTTCATCCCCTCAGTACCAGGATGCCATTGCCATGGTGATCAGTAGAGCCAATCAAGTTTACAATGAATTTCTCAAATCTACAGATGGGGCTGGTTTTAATGGACAGGTAAGACTGTTTTCCCTCAAAGTAAAATTCCTTTGGAGCAAGGCTATTTCTTTTTAAGCCACTGTGTTGAGGATTTTGAGTTATGAGTGTGGGAGGATGCTGCAAATATGATGAGTGAATGTTAGCATGGGGTTACCCGTGCAAAATGCCTTCTCAGTGCCCAGCATGAGAAACTGCACAGGATTCCAGAAGTGCATATCTAACCTGAACTTACTCTGTTGGTAAGAGCTGAGACCATAAGGAATCCAACATTTAACTATTGCTATTTCTTTTTTGCCCTCATTACAGTAGTAATAAAACAATTGACAGTAAAAAAACTTAGAAAACAAATACTCAGTTGCCAGCACTGTGCAGGTTTCCTGTGTAATTGGGAGAGACATGTAATTTTTCTGGTGTGATCCGCTCCTTAGTGAAGTCACCTGCAGACTTCTTCCAGCTGATGTGTCACAGTTCCTCTTCCTGCTTCTTCATCTTTAGACTACAAAACACAGTACTTTACTGCTTCACATAGAATAAATATGATACTGCTACACTGTGTGAGTTACGGAAAATATTTTGTGATGGGGCCCTCTACATAGCCAGAAACATGCACCCCCTTAAAGTCCAGTGACCTCCAGACTTCAGAAAAAGAAAAAAAATTACATTTAGTATAGACTACAGTGTAATCTTTGAAGGAAAGCATGTGTTTTATTACAGAAACAAGTTCTTTTCCATAACAGTAATAACATTATGCTGTGGCATATCAGTATTTTTAGACTAAACTTTGGATTGAAGCCAGTTTTAATATCCATAGTAAACTATTATTTCTTGAAACAAAACCAGCCCAGCTGCAGTGACAGGACATTATGACGGGTGAGATTCTGTAATGAAGAATTATACCAGTTACAGAAATAATTGTGAAAACAGTTCTCTCAATAGAAATTGAGTGTTACAGGTTTTTTTCTTTGACAAAGCTACAAAGAAGTCTCCTTGGTGTGTTTTAATACCTTATATATTAATATTTCATGTGAGAAAGTCTGCATGACCTCTGTGTGCGCCACAGAATTTTCACCATCAACAATTACCAGTACTGTTTAAATGGAAGTGACTTCTCTGTGCTGTCTACAGTGCTTTGCTTTGGTGCTGTGACAGAAATCTCAACTACATCTGACTAAGCCCTGTACTTCTAAAATACATACCGTATAACTGACCCCCACTCTGTGTGTATCTTTCATATTTCATTCTTTTCTGTCCATTTGTATTGCAAATTCATTAGGTCAGAGATTGCCTTTTTGGTTTTATGCAGCATCTGGAACAAGTTAAGTCCATTACCTTCATGCAGTAATAACGAGGATTAGAAATGGAATGGTAAATTGAAGGAGATACTATTAGTCCCCCACAAAACATGATGTTAATTTTGTTAACTGTATCCTATAATTTTCAGTTCTTTGTGGGCTTCACTGCGTGGTGTAGGAATTTAAAAAACAGAGACTACATCAGCATGTTGTTCAATTTTATACAACTTAAGAATCAGAATTGTCTTAGGCTAGATGTTACCTTAATGTATTTTTTTGGTTGTTTGTTTCTATCCCAAGAAATGTACTCAATTAAGAGAGTGTGGTATGTGGAAATGCCCTAAGAGACATTTGAGGTTTTTCCCTACCTTCATCTTGAAGCACTTGCTTTTCCTAGCATGCTTCACTGAAGAAATTGTGCACAACATCTGGTTATCCAAAGCTTGTAGTTTGGTGTTGTAGCCAAGCTGAATTAAGGCTAGAAGCAAGTTAAGGTTTGTAGGGAGAGGTAATGTCTTCTATTAAACTGACTGGACTTGAGAACAGCAGACTAGACATGTGCTGCAGTTTGAGAATTGGAGAGAAAGGGTTGCTGGAACCTGTGGAACCATGGGGATTGTTATCAGGGAGAAAGATAATACAGTGATTACTCATCCTCAGACACAGGCAGGGGGACAGGGAGAAAGAACCATCTCTTATGGGTTGGAGAGGTGTTCAGTGGAATTGGCTTGTGAGATAGATTCTAGTGATCCATAAAATTACTCCCAACTATTGAATTCCCAATTTTAGTACTTTGTACTTTAATTCCCAGGTCTGCACTTTGAAGGTAGCTTGTATGTTAATATAAAATGTGAAGCAGGAGTGACTCTCTCTGCTTAATACCTCATTTAAATGTTCTGTCCCTTTGCCCTGACAGGAGACTACCAATCTGTTTTTAATCTGTTGAGATCCTCTTCCCTGTATGACTGAAGGAAATGTTCAGTGGCTTGAAATCTTTGAGAGACTGGTTGTCCAGTGATCTGGACTTTTCAAGCTGGAATCTGGCTGCAAATGACTGGAAGAATTCTAATCTGTTTGGCAGAACTCCCAGCTGGTCAAAATAGTCTCTGGGACAGATATTCTTGTCATGGGGTGTATCTTTGGAGGTAAAAGGATGCGGCAGAAAGTGACTACACATTTTCAGCTGCAATAGGAATCAAGGTATAAAAAACAGGAACAAGGGTATGGAGTTAAGACAGCAATTCCTCTGCAGCGCTGTGGTGCTTTTTCTTTATTTTGAAATACTTGCTACATCTCCTAAAAACATATTTTTATTTTCTCAGGTGTGTCTCATTGGTGACTGCATTGGAGGAATTTTGGGCTTTGATGCCATCTGCTCTAATTCTAATACAGCTGATGAGAGTCGGAACAGCAGCAGGAGAGGAAGCACCAGCAGCATCCAGGTGAAGAGAAAAAATCCACACAGCTGAAACCCTATACATTCATTCTCTGGAGGAAATCAGCTCCATGTAAACCCAAGAAAATTTAAGGATTTGGTAAATTGCCATAATAGCACGGGGTTTTGCTTGTATATCAACAAATTGCTGTCTGAAAATTAAGTCTGCAGCTTCAGTTTTATGATATACAGAAATCACTAGTGAAGGCTTTATCTGAAAGCTTTAAAGTAGGGTTACTAAGTGCCCTTTATTGTATCCCTAACTGTAGATGCAGACATGTCCCCTCTCAGTAATCTCTGGTAGGTTCCTGGGTTTGCCAAAATGTTTTATCTTTCTTTTTATATATTTTTTTAATTTATTCACATAAGGTCTGGAATTCCTTATGCTACTGCCTGGGTGTAGTCTAGCATTAAGATGTGTTCAGTAAGTTGTAGTGACTTGTGAAAGAATGCCTCCTTCCTGATAAGGAATGCAAGACATCTGAGGATCTGTGAGTGGACCACTGAGCATAAGTGTCCGAGTGCTACATTTGGAGAGAAGGGAGGATTAATTCTGTGATCCAGAAAAGATTTTATGATAGTAAAAGCAGTTTTTTGAAGTAATGCTAGCACATAAGCTTCATTATTTTGTTCAACACCCAAGAAAGAAAATTGAAGTTCAAACTCATCTTATGTACCTCAGACTCAAGTGGATATGGGGAGGGGGTGTGGTGTATTGGAGTTGACACGGAGTGATGTGCCCACACTCCATTCTTCGGTGATTTTTGTGACCCTGGCCAAATCGTTTAATCTCGTGACTCTTTAGTTACCTCTCTCCTCAAAAGTGGGCTGAGTGATTCCAGCCTGCCTGGTTCAGTTGAGAGCTGTGTGTGATGGGAGTACACCTGAGCAAAGAGTCAACCTCTAAATGTTTCCAGGAAGGAGAATCACTCACCATTAATAACATTGCTCTGGATTCTCAGCAGCCAGCCTTTGATAGTACCAACACTGAAGACAATGCTTTGCAAGCAAAGTAAGTGGAGAAATTGGTCCTCCTGGATTCTGGTCCTACAGTAGGTTGATTGTGCAAGGGCTGCTGGTGAATCTGAGAGTGGGATTTTAACAAAAAGCCTTAAAATGTTGCCAGGGTTTTGGTGAAACTCTGAGCCTTGACAGCACTGATACAGTTTACAGAAGTTACTGATGGTATGATGTTTAAGAGCTTGACCTGCGGCCCATTTAAATCAATGGATTTGTCAGGGCATTTCTTGAGCTTTGGTTCAATCTCTAAAAATTCCCTTTCAGCTATGTGTATATGGATTCATCTCCAGTTTGTGTGCCACCTTGAATATTCTTAGGCACTAATAAATTTATTCATAGTAAAACCACCAAATTGGAGTTTTAGGCACTGTTTGCAGAATATTTGAGGCATGCAAGTTACAATTAAAATTCAGATCTATTGCATTTTCATAGCACAGGTGTTTGGGAACAAGCTAGAGATTAGAACTCATCATGAAGGACAAGAATTAAATAAATACCTTTGCTGAATCAGTTTTAGATAATCATGAAATGCGAGAAGGTAAAGAAATGTTTCTTCACTTATGTTCTTGAGAATTCACCTAAGTTACTTTGTGAGAAACTCTGTCAGGAATACTTTGGTTATAGGAATTTTGGCTTTGAAAGGTCCCTGGTCTTCTGGAGGATAGAGTTCCTAAAAAGGACTGATAACAGAGGTTCAGTGTAAGGTTGTCAACTGTGGGGCAAATCAAGCTACGTGGAGTCAGGGTCAGGCTGAAAAAAAGAGTTGCCAATTACATAAAACTAATATAAGCAGGGCCTGTAGGTGGTCCTGGCTTGAACACCACAGAAGTGCCATTTTAGGTGAAGGCTTTATTTTGGTTTTACGTCGCTTTAGCACACAAAATAGTGGGGGCAGTCAACTGCCAACACAGAGCAGGAGCCCTCACCTCCTACCTGGCCCTGTGGAATAGTTCTCTGCACTCATTAACAGTAACAGCGACAAGAAGTGAAGCTTTTAACGCTGTAGATATGTACTTACACTAAGTAAGTTCCTAAATCTTAGACAACTTTCATATGAAAGTTGGCATGATGTGAATTTTGCTGCATTACTATGAAATGCAGAAAGAGATTCCTATATGCATTTTTCATTGTACCATCACAGGAATAATTGTGAACATGCTGGTCCTAAACTAGTCTTCTGCAAATGCTAGTGGTATCATATCTTCCCATGAATTCTAGTACTGCGTTGTAAGATTTAGTAGAAGATGGATCAAGACCAACAATTACACAATTAGAAGAGGTTTAACTCTATCTGTTCTCCCACTGTGCCTTGTTGATGTTCGTATCTTTGAAGTTTTATAAAAACAGATGTTGGGCATTGTCTTATTTAGTTGATCTGAATAGAAGGAGTTTTACACAGAATTGGATTACACAGTAGGTAAAGAACCAGATCTTGCATGCCTCATGTACCTGGATTTTACCCATGAATGGAGGAATTCAGTCCAATGGCGTTTGTTTTGGAAAGCAGTATTTGCACTGGCTGCTGAAATTGATGCAGGAATAAAAGTCTGGCGATAATAGGGATATGTCAGGGAGGATGCTGGTGCAAGCTGCAGAAGTGCTGGAGGAAATGAACAATGAATACATTTATTTCCTATTTTAAGGGGTACCTTAAAGATATGGTACCACTGGTCTCCTCTTGCATCCCGCAGAAGTTCCCCTTCTTAAAAAAATTAGGTCCTGCATCCATGGAACAGGATGAGCAAGACCATTAATGTTGTAATGGGCATTTTGTACCCACAGGTAAGACCCCTTCTGATTACCTTATGATATTTATACTTCTCTAAGAATGATGAAGTCATGAGGGATAAAGCTTTTGTGTTACTCCTCCCACCCCCCCCACCCCCTCTTCCTGATTCTCCTTCCAGCTTTTAGGCTTCACCTCTTAATCTCTTCCCTTATCTTCTACTGCAGAGAGAAAGTCTAACCCCTTCCACCCTTTCTTGGATAAAGTGAGGTCAAATGCATACATGCAGCCATTTCATATAAGATCTGTTGTATTTTGGTCACTGTCTAAATCTTCCTTTTGCTCTGTTCATTCTCTGAAGGATAATCCCCTCTTAGCAGAGGACTCCAGTCTGGGTGGCAGCAAACGCCTGAGCAAAAGCAATATTGACATCTCGGGAATCATGGAGGATGAGAAGCCAGTGCAGCCGTTGCCTAGGAAACAGAGTGACTCATCCACCTATGACTGTGATACTATAACCCAACATCATGCTTTCCTGTCTAGGTAACTAGTGTTCAGTGACTGAGTAAAAGAAATGGGCTTGCCACTGAATGGAGCTTGTCAGCACCAGAGCAACAGAATAATTTTTACTGTTTGTGGTGGAGCTTTGCTTAAAGTCCCTGTATACCCCTCAAAGAAAACCACAGATACAGTGATTCTAGTATGAACTTACTCATGTGTGGAGAATTTTTTTATTTAATGTTTATAATCTTTATTCAGTTGTGAGAGTTTTGGATATGCAAAACTGAACATGAGTAGTTCCATTTTTACAGTGCAACCCACATAAATTAAGACGGATGAATGCTTTGTAATTCTGAATTTCTGTTACGTCTTTATCCTCCTGACTTCACTTACAGGCCTTCTGTTATTCTGTAAAGAGTGAGGTAATTGCTTTAGGTGCTTCCATTGGTCCATGAACTATTCAGATCAGATTGAAAACAAAAAAACCCAAACCTGCATAAACATTTGGCATAAACATTTAGTTAACCTAACTAGCTTTCCTGAATCCTAAGAAACCTTTAAAACACACATTTATTGAAACATAAGCATTCCCTTTGTCTCATTGTTTCTGCCTTTTCTAAGCTATTTCAATTTTTACTTATCTGAATGCTGTGTGCTTTTTTTTCTTCTATCTATCATCTTATTTCCTTTATTTCATTGAGAGTGATGTAGAGGGAGAAGTTTTATTGTGAGCTGAAGTTTCAGTTCTGGTACAGTTGAGCATAGTACGGACTTACTACTGTGCTTTACTTCAAGTCTGGCAGTTTTGTTAGTAGCAGTTTAATTTTATTTTCTTGCTTTGAATGTACTTTGCTTTTGTTGGCTGTTCCTCAGTTTTCAAACCATTGGGTTGATCAATGTGTTATAAAGTGTCTTCCCTCTGAGGCAGGATGGTTGTTTTTTGCTTATCTATGACTGAAAACATAAGACTTTTTTGGTCAGTCACTTTTAGGGTCTTGCACGGAAGAAATACATTGTTATGTTTAAAGCGCAGTCTTGGCTTGTATAAAGCACTTCAGACTTGGGGGATAATAGAATAATTAGAAGACAAAGGTAACAGCTTTCTTCCAAGCATTTTTCCATTTCCTGTGTAGCTGTGATTTTTAAACTGAAAGCTTTACATGCAGCTGGACTTAAACAAGCAGATAGAACAGTGTTCTTTCATTGACATTTTGAACTCCTCTAACTTTAGGCTGTTGCTTAGTTATTGAGGAATAGTTGGACAAACACAGGCTAAAGATGGCAGAAAAAATTCCTTGGTAAGGTAAAGAGGGGGGAAAAACCCCACAAATCAAACCAAACTGTGTCATCCTCTCACCCACCCAGTACATAGGAGAGAGATTCCAAGCCTTTGGTTTCCTCTCTGAGACACTTAGATAAGATTTTTAAGACTTTTTTGCCCATGAGCTCATTTGCTGTAGTTTAGAGGTGCTGTGTCAGTGTGAGTAATGAGGTTACAAAGATCTTCAATCTTCATAGTCCTTGTGTAACTTACCTGTAAGTATTCTGTAGAATAACTGTAGAAAACTTACATTTTGAAGATAGTAATTCTACTGAAGACATGCTGGAAATCGTAAGTGGCTGCTATACTGCAATATCTATCTACAGTTTAAGGCATGTTGCCTGGATCTAAATACAGATGCTAGAGCTTTCTAAGCATCCTGTTTTGGGAATGGATTTTTTTCTCTGGATGCCCTCTTCATTATTGTTGAATCAGTGCATTTTCTTTGCTCAGCATCCACTCAAGTGTGTTGAAAGATGGTGCAGACTTTCCTCCTGTGAGTTCCAGTCTCTCAGAAGTAAACTTGGGCCGATTTGAATTCGAGGTGTCTGATTTCTTCCTCTTTGGATCGCCACTTGGTTTGGTGCTGGCCATGAGGAGTACTGTTCTGCCTGGCCTGGATGGTAAGCTCTTTCTGGGGTTGGAATACAGGCTGCTTAATGGTCTTTGTAAACAGAGAGACTCATATAAAAAAATGTGAATAGAGGAGCCTAGTTGAAGACTGGGGAGTGAGACAAGTTTCTTCCTCTGAGAGATGGGAGTGTTGGCGTAGGGACGTACTGAGGTGATGAGGGTTGTTCTGGGGGTCTCACTGCTCTCCTGTTTACAGTACTGTGTCTTGTTCTGCTGTCAGTCGTATATTCCGTGTCATATAACATGAAGCTTACACCTCACCAAGGATCAGTCCTTGAAAAAGATAACAAAAATAACATCTGTGCTTGGTTCGGCATTGCATCTTCTTCATGTCTGGCTTCATGGGCAAACTGAGCCCCTGGGTGTGTTGGCTGTGGGCCATTTTTTCCTCTCTGGTAACAGAGCCAAGTGATCAAACACATACAGGATTTTTTTGTTTTATTTCTGAATACATCTGGATTTTTCAGTTTTTCAGTTAAAGTAAGAGCTTACATTATAGAATTTAGTGCATGTTTTGCCTCTTTGCATTGTATGAGGTTTGAATTGCATGGCATCTTCACAGAAAATGATACCTTCATTTATCAGGTGAGGGAGAAAAATCAGTTGCAATAGTGAGACGAGACAACAGTTTGGGACTCCCAATTTTTCATTTCTCAATTTGTAGACCTTTGAGTAATGTCATTTGAGCTTTCAAAGTCACATTTGATTGTGAGAATAAAGTGGAATGTAGTATAAACTGAAAGTCATTTTACCTGCCATAATTAAAAAAAATTACCAAACTAAACTCCCATTTTGCATTTCATTCCTCATATTTGCAGTACTCAGTTTTCTTCAAATAAAAAACCAAAACCAGAGCTCAGCTGAAGAGAATGGGAATTAATATATGTATTTTCCCACAAACTAAAGCTTTTTGCATATGTGAAAGAGCTGTCAGAGGAGCAAACAAGATTACATAGGTGGAGGCTGGCTTGGAAAACTGCACTACAATTTGGTTTCCTGTGCAGCACTTCCCTCTGAAGATGGTGAGAGTTTTGCTGTGAGGTTTGTGGCAGGGAGTTGGTGTTTTTTTTTTGTAGGACTTCACGTGGAAAAATCTATCAGTATGAATTTGCGTGCATGGATTCAAATTTTTTGAGCTAGAATTCATTTTTTCAGTAAATGTTGTGGTTTCCATTTAAAGAATCAGAATGGACACGTTTACTCTGGAATCACATATGAAATAGAGCATGCCTCTGTTTCATTAGATACTTTTTTAGAGTCTTTGGGGACAAATGCTGATGAGCAGATGCCAGATACTGTGCAGTAGTTAGAAAATCCTGGCAGTGTTTGGTAGGAGGGTACCTCAGCATCGGAGAGGACACACCTTCCTTACAGCCAGCGGTGGCTGTCGGCCGCTGAGTGTGTGCAGTGAGCTCTCCCACCAGTCAGTCCCGATGAGCACGGACGGGATTCACATTTCACTTCAAGGGAGTGTACACATGTATTGAAAACGTATGAAAATTTAATGGAATTGTGGCTTTTTGCAAGAGAGATTGCTCTGGAGTCATACAGTTTTTGTGCATAATTCTCTGTGCAATCTGAAGGTCTTTCCTTGAATGCTGTGCTTCATGTGAAAGCATTTGTGTGTTCAAAAGTGCAACAATTACATTTAAAAGACATTGTTGGCCATGAAAAATTGCCTTTTAGAAGTAACATTGGATTCACAGAGGTGAGAGCTGCCTTCCTGACACCTAATATTGTGCCCTGGGACAGGGGATGCTCTTCAAGTTGATCTTAACTTTTCACTGTCTGAAATCCAGGCAAAGCATGAACAAGGTAAAAATGAGTCTACTGGGATTTGTCTGAGGTGGTAATTTTAGAAACAAAGTGACTTCCCATATTTTGACTACGTTTTATATAAGTCCATAATGCTGTTTTGAACTTGAAACTCGTCTGTGTTACTGGGGAAGGTTGCAAGGCAAGAGAAGAAAAAGAGACAGCTCTTTGACTGGTAAGAAGGAAATTTCTGAAGGTTACCACAACTCTGATTACTGTATGTGCTTGCCATTTATCGATGGGAATGTATCAGTAAAGAGAAAACACAATGTCTTTAAGTTCTGATAGCTTTCTTTGTTAAGATGTCTGGGATGTGGCTTATGGACAGTGAAACTGATAAGATTGAGGCAAGATATCATGTGGAATAGCCGCAGTTTTCCACCTGCTACAGGAGTCTAAAGCAAGCTCTTCTGCAAAGCAAGTGTTCTGTTACCAGTTGAAAGAAATTAATGTACCATACAATTACATTTTTACCTTTAGATACTAAAAGCAAAGAGCAAACACAACTGCTGAGTCCCTCTATAATATTTTGGTGGCAGCTGTGTGCACAGGTCAATGTTCCCTTCTGATATTTAAATTTATAGTGGGTGAATGAGATAACTGTAAAGAATTGGGATTAGGTAGAGATGGATAGCAAATTTACAACGCTTAAATACTTGACTGGACTGGACTGTATGTTTCTAAACTCTCTAGTGAATTGTCCTTCTTTCCCCAGCCTCAGCTCTGGTACCCTCCAGACACTTTGACAGGAGATGTCACATTGATTACTAGTATTTTAAACTATTATCTTCAAATTAGCTCTCACTTCCATCCTCCCTCTGATATCCTGCAGGGAGCATGCTTTGAGAGCAGTTCAACTGACCGGCATTTCAAACACATTCCAAGGTGAGCAGAGTCTACATGGAGCATAGTCTTTAGAAGTACATATGATAAGAGAATCCCATTTAAAAATTATAATTATGGCATAGTTGACAGGAAAACAGAAAAATTGAGACCTATATCATGAAGACATTTGGAAGTTAGTTGAGAAGAGTCAGGTACCCTTTTTACTAAAATGGCAGGTAGAAAGCTACCTGGAAATGTGAGAAATTAAATTCAGGATGCTTTTATTTAGTTGTTTCGTTAGAGTCAGTTTTTAAAATCACAGGAAAGAAAATGATATCCAGAGGTTTGCCTGTTCTCTCTGCAGAACAGATGCATTTTGTTGTGTTTTACTTCCTGAATATTTATTTATCTTTACACCAATAAGAGTGTGGCTAAAACCAAATCTTCATTCCAATTTCTTTATTTTCTTGCCAAATGCCTTTTAATTATCTTCTGTCATATATTCTGTTGGTCCCTTAGTGCTTCCTTGAGAGTTCTTCTGGTTACCCTCTAAGCACTCTGTTTCGTGGTCCTCCCACTGTCTAGTGTTAGTTCTTATTTTCTAAAGTACTGATCATTTGTGTGTCTCTGCCAGACTCTTTCAGTCTCTTGTGCTGGTTATCCTTGGAAGAGGCTTGCTACCCTACAAAAATGTCTGGTTTTTAGAATTCTGAATATATCTTGATCATTCCATTACATCCACAGAGTGGCACTGTTCGACCGTAGGATGGTGTGGTCGTAGGGCGTTTTCCACTGGCTCTCAGTGGGAATTAATACTGCTAAATGCCACAGTAGTAGGAAGTAATCTCATTTGGAACATGATGTGCTCTATTTCTTTGCCAAGTTGGAAGAGGGGTATGAAAACTGCTGGTAACTCGGAGGACGTGCTTTCTTGTTGCCACTAAGTATCATCTTTGCCCTATGCTGACAACTTTCATAACCCTGCTGTTCCTGTTCCTAGCTTTCTTGGCCTCTGTCTGCCTTCTGTGCGTACACACACGTAGAAGGTAGACAGATACAGAAAAAGTCCCGGTACAAGAAGTAGTAGCATGTGCAATTAGGCAACTGATTTAATGAAATTAAACACTTCCTTTATGTTTGTGTATGATGGTTGATATTAAGCATGATGAGAAAGACAAAATAAACCAATATACCACCCACTAGGGAAGGAAGCTCTAGTTTAGTAAGATAATACCCAGTTTACTGCTCTATTTTATAAGCACTAGATCCCTAAATAAATATGTCAAAGTTAGAGGCTTGCCAAAATATCATTTTAATTATAATGCAGTACAGTGCTTTACCTCACAGAATGTATTTCACACTACTTGAGCTCTGCAAGAGCATTATACTTTCCTTGCAAAGAATTAATTCCTGCTATGCTTAAATGCTCTCACACTTGTAACCTGTTTCCATTTTTTTCTGGCAAATTCTAAGAACAAAATACATCTTGAAGAAAGCCATCAAAAGTAGTCTTGGATCTTTGCAGTCTTGCCGGTGTTTCCATTCTGCCTCTCTTGTGACATAGTTAACTGGAATACATGGGAGAATTTACTCAGTTTTCATAGCACAATAAACTGATGGGTGCATTTTGTACCCTACTTGGAGAATATACTGAGATAGTGGTTTCCTGAGAACTGTGGAAAGGTACTTCACAGAAGAATCTCACAGGCCATAGTTTTTGAATACAGCTGGCTTAATGTTGGGAAAGGGACAAAGGTGGTATGAAACTCCTATTTATTTGATAGTAGGAAAGAGAAAAGATTCTACGGTGTCAACAAGCAGTCTTACTATCTCCCACTTTCTTTTCATCTACTACCAGGTGTGCTGAGTGATGCACAGAGCCATCCTTTCTAGAAAAATCAACATACAACAGACATCAAAAATAGGTGCTGGTTATCCTGCAGCTGGGAACCTGGTAATTGCCACTGATAACAGTCTTAAAATGTTTTACAAAGAGATCTTGGGGGAAATATAAATCCACAAAGCTTCACTTAATGCCCCCAAAGACATCCACATTGTTCACTTTGTGCGACAAAAATCCTGCAGAATTAAAGAGATGTTGCACCATCATTTTACTGGTAAATATTTGAAGTGCTGAGCATCACAGCTGTAATGCTCAGTAGTATATTTACAATATTTTTAAACTTCTCTTTCCTTCCTTCCTTCCTTCCTTCCTTCCTTCCTTTCTTCCTTCCTTCCTTCCTTCCTTCTATTTCTCTGGCTGGTCTTCATGTCTGCTACATGCCTGCATCTCAGATTGTGAAGTCTCTGTAAACTCCTTTGCAGTGAAGTGTTCTTTAGGTATGAAATAGCAAGCAATTTAGTTATTCTTGTAGCCAGAGGTGTGTGAGTCTGGAGTTTGCAGAAGACCATATTAACCATCTTTCTATATAGACTCCTTGAAAATTGTAAAGGGGCAATACTGAACTCTGTCTCATTCTCATCCAAGTATGCCAGGTCCGCCCAGCCTGCAGCCAAGTGTACAGTTTCTTTCACTCTGCTGACCCCTCTGCCTGCAGACTTGAACCGCTGCTGGAGAAAAGGTTCCATCTCCTGCCTCCCTTCAGTGTCCCACGGTACCAGAGATACCCAGTCGGGGATGGAAGATCTCACCAGTTAGGTACAGTGCCTGTTTTCACAGCTCTCCTTACCTGTTATTCTCTTAACTGTTCTCTCCTTACACAGCTCAAGAAGATTTGAAATACCAATGTGCTAATGTGCGAAAGTATCTGGAACAGAACGCCACAGATGTATTTAGCAAGTGTGGAACTGAAGAAGATGCAGAGAAGAAACGATTCTTGCATGAGAGCTTTGTGATACTAGTTGTGTTTGAGGGGTTGGAAGGTGACACCACTGCTTTGGTTGAAGTGTTGCTTGAAAACTTCCATGTCTTTGACTGTCATTTTAAACAATTTTTATTTACAATTAGTTGATCTTTGCCTAGCTCTTCAGATATTGTTTCTCTTTGTCACTTGTGGTTGATTGAGGATATCTCCTAGGACAAGTCAGAGCACTGAACTAATTGTCTTTTGATTGCTCTCTTCCTAGGTAGGCTACTAAACAGTAGTTATGTTCGGTAATAAATGTTTGAATCCAGGAAAAAACAGAAATAGATGGATTTGTGGGGAGGGAGGAGGAAGACGTGGATGAGTAAGGTGCTAGTAGAAGGAATTGTCCAGTTTTGACTTTACAGAAAATGAAATAAAATCATACAAGTACAAAGTATCTTGACTTGTCATATTATGCAAAAAAGGCATTGATCACTGTGTGTCTGTACATGCGTGCACATCAGAATTACTATTTTTGCTACAGATTAAGACATGAATTAAAGCCTCAACAGGGTATTTCAAAAGGCTTTTAGGATTCAGAGTTTAAGGTTGGAGGCTAATATAGTAAACCAGCAATGTTTTCTGTTTGTTGGCACTAGGAGAATTGTATCATTGTGAACCTGTTCTGTGCAGTAGGATGCACACAACACCTTTGTTTTATCTGCTCAAATATGGTGCACACTGGATACAAATCAGTTTGATTAAATCAATGTTTGAAAAACAACAGTTGATCTTGAGTTGCAGAAGGTTGGTTTCTAGGTGTTGGCTTTGTGGAAATGTGAAGATCTGTCTGTTCCTCAGGAATTCACTTAAGGAATAGCTAAGATGAGGGGAATATGTATTCTCTCCTCAGCCCTGTGCCTGAGTTTTCAATGGAAATGTATACCCTCCTTTGCATTCTGACTTGCAAGAGTTATAAAGCCTGACTGTGCACTTGGAAATCCTGCTGGTTAGTTAGGCACAAATTCTGTCACTGAGATAGAGCTAAGGCTATCTGGGAAAGTTGAACCCTCCTTTAAATAACTGTCATAAGAAGAATGGTTCCCTTAGGCTGCTCTTCACATTGGAAACCTTGTGCTGGTACATTTTACCATCTTTGTTGTGTTAAAGTAAACCCTTCACATACAGGTATTCTTGAAGCAGAGGCTTTATAAGTGATTTGGGAATGACTGGAGTTCTTTTTGGGTTCATCTAAGGCACTGGGGTCAGAAGATTCCTCTACAGAGCATGTAAATCTGGAAACCCTGTCTGTTGGATGTATTATAAAAATTCCCGTGTACAGATGATCAGCAAATGTTCCATTGTACAGTTTTATATTGAAACCTCCATGCAGAACTAAATCATTGCTGTGCTCTACTCTTAGGCTGTATTATGTTTCACTGAGTATAAAATCTTCCCATTTAAATGCAAGTGCTTTTGAGATCCTGTCGGAATTTAAGGTTCTTCATTCACAAAGGATTAATTCTAGTGACTGTATAATTTTTTTTTGTCTTTCTTAGGTACCTAGGCTTGTGAAAGTATTTCTCAAAATGAGAGCCTTTGTGGTGTCAACTGGAATGGTAGTTTACTAATCAGTTATGATAAGACCTAGATACACCAAACTCTAATTATTATGCACTGCCCAAACTAGCCTTTTCTGATAATCTTTCAAGTCATTAAACAATCTCATTCCCTATTCCTTTTCTTACAAGAACTGATGATTAAAATGATTCTTTGTCTGCCTGACATTCCTGATAGGTGCCTCTGTGGAAAAAAAGTTCTGATCTGGAAGCCAGATGAAAAAAGTTTACTACTAGAAGTACACAGGCTGGAGAACATGATGAAAAATGGGGGGCAGATTTCTTTAGCTGTCTTTCAGTTCTTGCCAATCAAATGAAGCTCTTGGAGCCAGCTGCTCTGTGCATAGGGTTTATCTTGAAGCTTTTAGGTTTATCAAATTTACTTTTTCCATTGAGATTCAGGAGACATCTAAGACTTAAATGGCATGATGTAAAGAGCAGGGCACATGTTTATCTAGACGATTGCCTTTTGCATCCAGCAGGCATCAGTAGTTACCACTGTCTGCCCCCAGGGTCATTCAGTTTGTAGTAAGGTGCTATTGTTTGTGTGTGTGATGGATTGATCTATTAAGAGCTTGATGATGATGATGAAAGCTGACTCTAGACTTGATTTTGGCAATCACAGAGACCTGCTTCCCCCACAGAATTATTCCTCTTTCCTTCAATTACTTGGTCAGCTGCAACCAAAGCTTCTGTTGATACAATTCCTGATGTAGATGTGATGACATTATTAGGCTATTGATAAAATAGCTTAATAAAATAAAATTATTTGCGGTATGATTTAAATTCAGTTTTCTGAATGTATAGGAGAGTCAACACAAAGAGAGAGAAGATTTAGTAAAAGTTTAATTTCTGCGATATCTCTGACCTATGCACTGGATAGATAGAATGGAAATTGTAGCATAAGGCATTCCACCTTTTCAGAAGTCACCTCTTAAGGGGATATTTATCTCTTGTTGCTGTGATATCCAGACAGGTGAAAGTAAAAGAAACTGCATTGAAAGCACTGCCAGACATACAGAGCAGGTGGAGAAAACATTTATCTTTATAATTCTTTTATCTATGATTGCTGACAGAAGACATAGCAGAAGATAATGGTTCAGACAAAAATACAACTTATTAATCGGTGGGGGTGGGTTTATTTTTACTATAAGGTCAAGGTACAAAGTTCAGGTTATATTACAACCCAGAGAAAGCCATGCTGTCATGACATTTCGTTAAACAGCAGCTTTCTCAGCTGCTGCCTAGTTGACATTTCATACTCAAAGTGTTTTTGTGGCTACCAGAAGCGAGTCTTAGTTTTGTGACAGGGCTCTGATCTACCACCAGTCGTGTCTTTTGACACTTAACTAACATGTGGTATATAATTTCTTTTTTTGCTTTGCTGCTGCTGACATCATGCATTATATCTACTTGAAGATTAAAAATATGGATGTTAAGTATTAATTCAAAACACCTGGTTTCAACCCATCCTACTTTTTTGACATTTGATATAGCAGAACATAGATAATCATAATCCTCTTTACTGTTTGAGCATCTACCTTGCATTTTACTTTGCAGCACAATTGAAATAATTCAAGAATTTTTCTCTTACAAGGTTTAATTTTTAAGGAATGTGCAGGAATGGCAGTCCAGACTATGACTGATTCAACTGGTCAGCTTCATCATGGATAGTTAGGTCTAAAAGCACACTACTTCTCCAATTGTTTATGCATAAAGTATTGTTTATTTTTCCTGGAGATAGTTTCTGTGTGGCATCGAGGAAGCACTTTGCCTCTTGGTATTTTCTGTAACTATAAAAATTATCCAAGATTAAGTTTTTTAAAATGATCTGCCTTTATTTTATTTCTTATCAAGCATGACGTTAAATTTAGATTGGTTGGATAAGTGGTAAGAATCTTTAGTGACCCTCAAAGCCATGAGAAAGGTTGTTTTGGGTTATTTAAATGGAAGAATTATACAAGTAGACTGTCCTAGTCGAAAGTTGAGCACGGGACTTTTAGAAAAAAGTAGTATTACATGTATTTTATTATTCTAATCGGTACTCTCTGTCCTCCTTTACAATTCAACAAAGACTTGACCTACAAAGATGAAAGCAGACTGCCCTCACTATATAAAATAAAGATAATTCAGTAAACAGGAGAGAAAAAACTGCCAAAGATGCCTTCCATTTCATTGATTTGAACTCTTCATAGGGAGAAGAGTTACTGATCTTAGAATAAGAGCAGTACAAAATAAACAACACATTTCAAGGCCCCTTACCAAGCTAGTCTTAAGCTAGTCAGTAATATGGAAGAGGCTAACAGATACGTTGGCTGACAACATGTTTTCCATTTTGTGCCAAATTACTATTTTTACTTCTCCATCTCCATTTTAGGGGGAATAAAAAAACAAAGCTCTTACAAAATGATGATAGGGGAGGAGGGATTAGATGAAGATCAATTTACAACTCTTTCAGCATAGCAACAACCATTCAGAAGCAGAAAATTTATTTTAAAAGCGCAACCTTTCTTATTTCTGTTAATCTTTTGGAAGGGGAAGCAGAAAGTATGCATCAGAACACTGCCAGTCATGAGGACTTCATGGTGATCCAGCTCTCATTTATGGGATTCATTGCACCTTCTTCTGTGGAATTTCCTGTTGGTTGATGTTTGGATCAGGGTTCTGGTTCAGATGGACCCCTAATGGGGTGCAGTTTGGCAGCTTCCTCGTTCCTCATTGCTTATGTCTGTAGATTCTGCTACTCTCTTCAGTGAGACATTTGCTGTGGTATATTAGGCCACATGATTTAGGGTTTGTTGTCAGAAGGACCAGGTACCTTGCTGTTCAGTATTTAGTATGACATAGAATCAGACCTTTTGCTTCTTTGTGCTGCTTCTGTCACTACAAAGAGCTTATAATACTTCCTCATCTTTTGAAGTATGTAATGGGAAAGCAGCATGGTGTTTCTTTTTAGTTGTCTGTGTTGGAGTTTGTATAGTTTGCCTGAGACAAGGGAAGTAATAAAATTATCTTTCCATTCTTTTCACCTCCATCAAGCTTTCCCATTGCACCAACAAGATTCCTCTGACGGAAGCAGCACATTGCCATTTCTTTAATGAAAACTCAAAGCACATGTTCCCATGGAAACTACAACTGAACATATTCTGTCCAAACTACATGCCCATCACAAAGTATTAGAATTTATTTGTTTCTCTGATTCAGTTGCAGGGCAGCTCCTTTTGTTGTGTCATGCAGTTTTGATACTCAGGCATATGACAGAATAAGCCATAATCTTTCTAGCTGCGTCTTCTTTCTGGAAGGGAGGAGATCATAGGGAGCTATGGTGCTATTCCTTTTCATTCAGTGGTGATGTGTTTTACCAGTTCTGATAATCTGTAGACACTTACACTTCTTGTGTAATTTTAAAGGAATGGTGTCCTTGAGAGCAGCAACTTGTGTTCTCCTATGTGCACTATTGAGGTATTCATTGCACTGAGAGCTGGTAAGACTTGAGAAGTTGAAGAAAAACTTACTCCAGGCTTCCACTACATAAAAGAATCGTATGACATAGTTCCCAACCCAAGACCATGTGAAAGATGAATCACAGCATGATTACAGTTATTTATCTGAATGGGACTGAAATAGAGCAATACATCATTAAGGGCTGTCTGCTGTCTTTTGTATTATGTGCATTGAACTGGGTCTCCTTTTTCTTCTGTTCACTGTTTAAATCTCAGCAAGAGGTTTGTTCTCCGAAAAACAGCACTGAGGAGTCAGCTGCTTTTGATATGCACTTTGCTGTATATCCTATCTCCCAGTTGAAGTTCTGCCTTTTCTGGGTACAGGAGGGATGTGCAGGCTGCTTCAAGCAAAATTATCAGCAAAGCCTTTATTTAAATGTATGTCTGTTCTTACATGTTTCTGAACACCTCAGGAGGAAGGCTTTGTTTTGTTTCATTAAGTAGAGGTGTAAGCCATGGCCCATAATTTCGTTGAAGTGGCTTGAATAAATGAGAATTCTGTTCCATTTGGGAACATGCAAATGAGTAGTCAACCTTTCTTGAAGATCATTTCTAAAGTCATTTTGCTTGTGTCAGAGACTCCCAGGGCTTGTCTAGCTCTTCTCAGAGAATGACTTTAAAATGGTTAGGGTTGAGTGTGAAGTAAAAGAGCTTTCCAAAATCAGTACCTAGTTTGGAAGATCTTGGCCAAAAGCACCCAGTTGCCATTGAATTTTGATGGCAGTAGGGGGTGCTTTGTCCATTTAGTCATGCTGTCTCATGCAGTCCTCCTCATTCTGAAGGAGTTTCATTCATGGTCATTAAATCTGATACTATTCAGGAAAACTCTCACTAGCTCTGTATTAAAAAAAAAAAAAAATTACGCACACTAGTTTCAAAGCCATGTTGTTCATCCCATTGTTTTTTGTTTTGTTTTGTTTTTTTTCATTTCTGTAACCTGCAGGTGATGCTCTCCACAACCACAGTGCTCTGTTCCTTGAGAACAGCTCTTGGAACATACCTTTGTCTCAGGAGAGTCCTGGATCTCCAAATGCATCTGATCAACCACAAGGGAAAACAAGGAAGTTGAGCCTGGCCAGCACAAACAGTGAAAACTCAGGGTCAACAGAAAGCTTGCCATCAGCATACCTCACCAACAGTGAGTGAAGCCTGGTGCCATGAGTGGTCTGATACGGCAACAACCCTTCCTTCCACATCCTTTCTGTGGAAAAGTTTATTATGAAAAGGAAAATGACCTGCTTGGATATTTGCGGAGAATGAGAACAGCCAAAGTTGCTGCAATTTTAAATAACACTATTTAGCTTCCTCTTATGTTTATGATTAAGTAGATAAAGCAACAAAAGTGGCCACAGTTTTATATTAAGGTGCCTCTCATAAAGTCATTAAGGGTTTCATTATAACAGGGGTTTAGCAACATGTTCCAGGCATGAAGAAATATAGATAGATAAGATTTGTTACCCTTAATTAAAAGTGCTATAAGTCATTATATTGTCCTGTTGAGGACTGTAGTCATACATCAGTGTTCGTTTGCTATTTGGGAAGCATTTGCAATTCTTACTCTATAGCATGATCATAAAAGTACTAGACTTCCACTGTACGTTGTCCACGAACCAGGGAGCAGTGGAAATCATGCTGAGATGATTTCTGCTTCCCAAAACTTGGACCACGTAGAACTGTTTAGATTTCAGACATTTAAGTGATAATGCAGTCAGTGAAAACAGTACTTCCATGTTTGATAGATACCTTTAACAGACTCTAAATAACAAGATTAAAAAAGCAGACTTCATTCAATTATCTAGCTTAAAAATAAAGACATCAAGGGATTTTTAAAAGAAGATATAGAAATGTGATGCTATTTTGTTTGGTTTTTTTGTAGTTACTGCAAAGTGGTGGGGAACAAAACGAATAGATTATTCCTTGTATTGTCCAGATGTGCTGACAGCCTTTCCAACTGTGGCCCTGCCGCATCTCTTCCATGCCAGCTACTGGGAATCAACAGATGTTGTGGCCTTCATTTTAAGACAGGTCATTGATCTCTTTATTTTTTCTCTCTGCAACAAATAATGTTTTGATTGTTAATTGCATCTTCCGAGGGTGATCAAGACTTTAAATCTTTAGTTCAGTTAGATGGCTAGCTGTGTTGCATCACCTACAACTGGATGTAGGAATGACAGATGTGGATTTACTGGAGAGGTGAAGGGGACAGTGAGCCCACCACTGGCACTGTTGGCTGGTGTTCTTACTGCTGACTTGTGTGACTGTACTCATCCCTCCCATGCCCCAGATCAGTATAACCCTGTATTGTGTATCAATTTCCTCCTGTTTTTGAAGGAATAGGCTGTCTCCAGCCTTACTTAGTTATGTATTTCCCTACTAAATATTGAATTATTAGAATATATTTGATAATAAGCCAGCAGTTTGAAAGTACTGCTCCCATAAGCAAATCAAGTTTTTCCTGTAACTATACTAGAGTGTTTCAAGGCATTTTGTGCCCTATCTCCTCAGAATTTATTTCTGAGTCATATGATGGGTCTTTTGTTCCTACTGTATCAGTAATTAGACAGCAACTCGCAGTGAGTTAGGGATAATTCAGTGCTCTGATCTCTAGAGAAAGTGGTGAGGCTGAGAAATCTCACCTGAAATAAAAAAAGTAAATTAAGTGGTGTTCAAGTGAAACTTGTTGGATGTGTCCCTCCAAGAACCCAAAGTGACCCTTGCCCAAAAGCCAGTCACAGGCAGTTTAATTTGGACTAACCCAAGAATCAGTGTGTTTTTTCCATCCATCGGATCATGAAAAAGCTGCTGCCAGACAAACAGTGGAGAGAATAATACAGAAAACTTCACAGTGACTTTTTTTTTCATGAAGTCAGTTTGGCCGGTCAGCATGCCTGCCTCTCTCGCAGCGCCTTTTGGCTGTTCTCTGGGCGTTAACTCCCTGCACCCGCTGCTACCATGCTGGTGTCAGTGATGGGTCTCTGGAGCCTCACCTGGGAGCGGAGCTCTATCCCCTCCAGCCCAGGACCTGCCCTGTTGCTCTGCGCCAGCCCTGCTGCTGCTGGGCAGCCTGCAAGCGGAGCATGCAGCAGCACCGGACCCTTGCCGAGGTTTTGATTACTGTTACTAACTGATGAAATTCTAAGGGTCCTTCTTGCTGTCCTTTCAGAGCATCCCTTAGTATATCTGATTTCTGTTTGCTTAATGTATCATTAAGCAATGCAGAATTTTAAAAGCTAATTTAAAAAACTTTGTTTATAACTAGCGTCACCACAATCAATGCAAAGCAAAAGTTGCTGAGAGTTTTTTCTATGAATGAGAACAGTCTCCAGAACAGGAATGTTATTTGATGCTCATCCCAAAGGAGGAGAGGTTTCTACTGGAAGTGACAGGATGCAAATCCCTGTTTTTTCTGTGGAAGGGCCCTAGATAATTGTACATAGATGTTTCTCTTCTCCTTTGCAGCTCTCTTACAGCTCTTGTCATCTTGTCTTCTCTCTCAGGATGTTTTTTGCCATGAATCCATCAGAACATTCTCCCATTTTTCCTTTCAGATGCCTCCCTGGTCCTACTTGTCTGTTAGCAGTCATTCCTGCTTTATTCTACTTGTTATTTTGGATCATTCATATCAAGTTGCATTGTTGTGTCTTACCTAGCCTTGTACATGCATTACAGCTTTTAGAATTTAATAGGAGCTCCAAACATTTGAAACATGCCTATAAAGCAATATGTGAGCTTACAGCACTACGTACAGGACTGGTTAGTTCCAGCACAGTCTGAACATTCTGCCCTTGCTGAGGGTTAATGTTAAGGCTAATGGCTCTTCAGTGCTCTGTGGACACATTAATTCCTGCACGTGACCTCCAGTAAATAGAATTTATGCCACTTTGTTAAAAACCACACTGACCTCTCAGCAGTAATATGATTTGTTGCAAGCCATCTGCTTTGCTAAGGCTGAATGCAGCAGGATCTTTCAGATTTATTCTAGGCCCCTCTTCCAGGGAGGGTACCCAGAGTGGAAAACTTCAGCACAGAAAATCAACTGTTCAACTTGAGTAATTTTCTGCTGGCTTGTGAAAGACAGACTAAGCTATTTCTTACTCAAAATGAAGTAGCCTTGCACCAGCAGTGATCCCAGGGTGCAACACACAGATTTCAGTAAGATTCTGAAATCTGTGGGTTGTGTCCTGAAATCTGAGTTGGACATGCAAGTTTCTTGGTAAGTGTGTAGTATTTAGGTTGTAAGAACGTGTAGCTTGTATGACAGATCGGGGTTCTGCATGTTCACAAGTTATAGTCCTCTTACCTTCAGACGTTGTTAGTCACAAGCCAAATCCTGAGCCTGTCACCTACTACAGTGGTGAGTAATATTCAAAAGGTGATAAAAAACCTTCTGTCTGGGTGTATGCATAGAAAATCAATGCAGATGGAGTCAGGAATCTGACCTCTGCCACATAAAGAACATTAAAAAATAATTCAGTGGTTATAAGCTGCTTTACTGACTTTGCAGACCATGTGACTGTCACTTGCTACCATCCTAATGTTTTCACCATTTTCTCTGGAAGAATCTGCAAGCTCTGTTGTGAATGTAAAAGCTGTTCAATAAGTACTTGAAATTAAGTGTTGGCTGACGGAGTGAAAGCAGTTTATTGTCTGTACAGTTAATGTGAACATACAGCCTGTACCTCTTTCTACTTTCATTGTGCTTTTGGCTCTACAGTGCCATTCAGCTGGGGCAGCAGTGTACTTTCCCTCTCTTTGCCAAGTGCCAGCACTCCCCAGGCCACACACTACTAAAATATTAACATAATTTCAGGTGATGAGGTATGAAAATGTAAATTTCAAGGAAAATGACAACTTGGATCCAGCAACACTAAGTCCTTCCAATCCACGAGAAAAATGGCTACGCAAAAGGACACATGTAAAATTGAGAGTAAGTATAAATCTGAATGTATGTGGCAGCTATAGAACTTAGGTTTGGCAGCAATTAAATGGGAGTTTGATCTCCCAAAGCATGAGTTTATGTAACTGAATATTACTAAAGAGATTAAAACTACTAACATAATCCAGAGGCAAACAAATTAACAGCTATGGAATAGGAACAATTTATTCTTGGTTTGTCACTACATGTTGGGAGAATGTATATTTATTTCTTTAGATGACAGAGGGGTCTTAAGTTTCAGTTAAGCAAAGAGGTTGTTCTTCTGTTTTCTTATACACTAGATGAATCCATAACTCAAGTGGAAAAAAATATTTTCTTCATTCTTCAGATGCCACTTCAGCTGGAAATGTCAATTAAGATGTGTCTATCTTGTACATAATTGTGTGAATCTATGGCACCACTTGAAGTGAAAGATAATTGGCATTCCCTTCAGCGTGCTCTCTTGTTTGGTCATCTTGAGCGCTCTCACTAGAAAGCCTATTCAGGAACCCACCATTACTAGAAACCTGTCTCCAGCTGAAACAGGAGGGCAGTTCAGCTAGGTGCTCTGAGCTGCACTGGGATGTACCTCAGGCACACTGTCCAGGACTCTGCTTCTGTGCCACTGTTCATAATACCATAACAGAGGCAGTAGCCTCCTTGCAAAGGCAAACACTACCCTTCTCACTTTCTGCTCTTATTTCAGAATGTGACTGCTAATCACCGAGCTAATGATGTCATTGCAGCAGAAGATGGTCCTCAGGTACTAGTTGGACGCTTTATGTATGGACCTCTGGACATGGTAGCTTTAACAGGTGAAAAGGTAAAGTCTGGGTAATCAATTTCCTTATTTTTCTGAACCAGCTTTTACTGGAAACAGTTGTTGAATGTAGCACACATACATAGTACCAGAGGAAGCCTTACAGTGAGGGGAAGTATGTCCCTAGCCCCCACCACTTTGGCAAAAACGTGCTGTAAGTGGGCTTTCCTGGTAGCTGACCTATTTCCCAGCTCTCATTCTTGTTCCATGATGCCTGCCATCTCCTCTGGTTAATGATAAGTGTGCTGTGCCGTGATTTCTGAACTTGCCATTTGGTCATACCACCTACTGGAGACAATTTTTCAGCAAGGGGAAAAAGAATTTTATAGTGTTTGGCAAATCACTAAAAGAAAAATGTATATCCTCCTATCCAGGGAAGACAACTAAAGGAGGAGAGATTCTGGAGTCTAGGTGGTTGATATTTCCCCTTATATATGCAAGAGTAAAGACTCATTTTAGAATTTAAGTAGGAATGTGACATGATTGGAACTGTCACTCCTAAAGCTGCCTGCAGTAGCCAGGCTTACAGCCCACAAAGCCAAGCATTAAGTGAACACATTTGTTTATATTCACTGAGACTGTAAGATTTTTTTTGTGGAAATGAACAGAGCAATGCTACTGAGCTGAGGGTAGAACTGAAGCGTGGAGGCTTCACTTGGCCTGTTTTGTAGGTGCCCATTCTGCTGAGATGCAGCGTTAACCAGATGCCTCTAGGGATCAGACACTGATGGTGTGTCTTCTTCGGAGTCTGTTTGCTAGTGCACGTGGCAGGGATGGATGTTTCTGGGACCATGTACCTGATGACCGTGCTTCTGTCACAGCTGAGCTTTGTTAGTCAACTCCACAAGACACAAGTGATGTGCTGCTTCTAAGATTTTGTGGCAGAATTCTTCACACGCGTGCAGATACACATTGAACTGTCAATATAAGTTATGGTTATATTTTTAAGACCCATCATTGCTTCAGTCTTGTCCCATATGGTTTATAAAGAAAGCATCCCCATCACTTGAGTTTACATGCAGGACAGGATCACAGATTTTGTCTGATTTTGAAGATTTGAATCACAGCTCTTTGTTACCTTACAAATTTCTTCAATCTGATCACATTTTATTCATTGATAAGGTTCTTCTGGCACAATGATGAACAGGGCACCAAAGGTGTTCATAGTGGTCCTGTCAAGAACATGAAAATTGTATGGTTCTGAGACTTAATAATTTCCTCTTTGTGCCATTTCTCAAGTGTAAATTCGAAAAGTCCTTTAAATGTATCTGAGTGTATTGGATTATGTTGAAGGTCTTCAATTAGATTAGTCAGGAAGACTGCAAATCAAAGCTGGTATGTCATGAATTATTTGTGCCTATATCCTAGCAATGCCTCAGCTGGACACTCTTGTAACTGGTAGAGTGCAGAAATGAGAAGAAACCATTTTTACCACAAGACCATTGCATCTGTCAAAGGACAGGCCATCCCTCTCCCACCTTTCCTAGTGCAAATTAGAGCAGGGGAAGGATTTATGTCAATTAGTAGTGTGGTGTGCAGACTTGAGCAGACCTTGACGTGTTAGTTTGAGTGTGGCAGGTGAGCCTGATCTGCTCTGTCATATTATGGTGCTGTCCTCCAGCAGGTGGGATGTTTTCCTGGAACCTCATCTGCTTTGGGTGGCTCCTGTGGAGGAACAACACATAATGATAATGAGGATGTGGCTGTCTGGTCAAGAGAAGGAGACAGGAGCTTAAGCTTCTGTGAGAGTCTCTGCCAGTCATAGCCTCCCGTGCTCCCATGGGACTGGCCACCTGGGTAATCTCAGCCTCAGTCTGTTGACCTATTAGAAAATGTTAATTAACCTGAGATTGGCTTGACATGACAGTTTTCATTCAGGCAGAGATCAGTCCTGGAGACTACCCTTGTTTTTGCAGGAATTCCTAAAATGGGCCTGTGGAGGTTTCTACACCTTCGTAGTCTGGATTCTTTTTAGCCCTGAAAAAAGACAACACACTGAGCGTTTTAGTGTGCGAACAAAAACTAGGTTGAAGATACATTTCAGCATTTCAGTTTTCCTGAGGTCGGAGGTGTGTGTCTGGAATTTGCGTAACCCATTATTTTCTGGGCATTACAGTCTAATGTTTTTCCTCCCTGCCTTGATTATTGTGTGCTGTCTGGTTGCCTTGAAGTCGTATTCCCACTTCACATGGGTAGGGATAAACAGTAAACTGCGTTTCTGCAGTGGGAAAACAGTTTCATATTATGCTTGAGTATTGAATACAATCTTGTCATCAAAATCTATTTAAAGAAATTTGTAAGTAAAAATGTTAAGATTATTACTAATTATTGCACTGGGGAGAATTCCATACTCAGTGAAGAATTACCAATAGTTTTTGTTTTCATTTTGAGGGGTTTCAAAACTAATGGAAATACTCTCTGTATTTTTTTAAACATTTGTTCCTTCAAGGATCTCAAGTAGCTTTACATAAAAGGCTATATTTTATGGTCTCCTGACATGGCAAGGGAGAATTGAGCCAGAACAGTTCAATGACTACAGTCAGCAGAATGCTGTTCTAGTAGCTTTCACACTGATATTGAAAAAAAGAAAATGTTGAAAGGGCTGTAGTTGTGCAAATTTTTCAAAATGCCCAGTGCAAACTTAAAAACATTTTTCTGAACTACACCTACACCCGCCCCCCATCCCAGTCTTTAATGGCTTAACTTGAGAAAATTATTGAAGGGGAAAAATGAAGGTAAGAACAGAATGGCTGAATAAAACAAAGAAAATTTCACAAAAGAAAAGATTTCTGTTGCTGGTTAGGTCTTGTATTCCTTTGCAGGTTAGAAAGAAGTTTTTCCCCTAGCAAATCATGAAAATGTTTTCCTTGGCCTTCTCAGCACTAATGCTGCATTTGAATGTTGGAAATTCGGAATCACAAAGTGAAGCTTTCTCCTACTTACACCATCCAAGACTTTAAAGAGGCAGTTGACGCACATCTGTATTCAAACTGTGAATTCACTTTGCAGTCAAAAAGCAGAAGAAAGAAAGAAACCCACTGTTTGATCCAGATAACACTTCTGGCTCAGCAATATCTGTCATTTCTTCCCTTGCACCAAAGCTCGTCCCTTTGAAAAATTCAGTTCTGAATTTCATCAGTTGAGAATAAATTTAGTGTTATTTATAGTTACATCCCAATGTCATGTAACATCATATGTCCAAGAAGAGCATATCTGCAGAGTTATTGAGGATATCCACACAAACAGCATGGTCTCGTAAGCTGCTGGCAAATCTTGCAGAGTATCTGCCTGCATGTTGAGCACTTCAGAAGTCCACATAAACCTTGTATGCCTGAGTTCTGTTAAAACTGAGTACAGAAGGAGAGCTTGTCAGATACCTCCCTCAGACTTACTCATGTACTTACTGCTAAAAAGTGCCAGTTCAGGTCAAAGCATTTCATACGCTTTATGTTAATTCTGATGAAATATTTCAGTTGGAAAAAAGCATATTGCAAAAACCTTTTGGAAAAAAATCTTGGTAAGTTGAAGTGTTTATGCAAGGTTATGATTTGAGAAAGATTGTATTTTTCTAATAACCAGATTAAATTTTCCATTTTGTAGGTTTAGTATGCAAAAATGTAATATATACATGCAAGCTGAAATGATCTTTTTTCTAGTTTAGGGTTCCTGCCAAATTTCTGAGCTCTGTACCCTTGTTTGACACCTCCAGTGCTAAGCTGAGTGCTTTAAATGATGAAGGCAGTGAACTCTTGTATTGTGTGTTAGGAAGCATTTTCTAACTGAAAGGTCTCTCTGTGAAGTTTTTACTGAGTTTTGAAGTTCCTTCAAACTTCCTTTTAAGATTTTAGTGCAAGTCGTAGTTGGAGATACTAATGTGATCTAGGCTTGGTGGGCCTTGTAAATAAGGGGGTGCGTTGCCTACAGTCACACTAGCTGACTGTTCTGTTGGTTTTGCAGGTTGATATCTTCATAATGACTGAGCCATCTTCGGGTAGGTGGGTGTACTTCGACACAGAGATATCCAACAGCAGTGGCCGGATCTCCTACAACATACCGAAGCAGAAGAGACTGAGAGTTGGCGTGTATCCCATCAAAATGGTGGTCAGGTAATAGCTCTGAGCTGGAACTATAGATGTGATGGGTGGTTGTGCTCGGGAAGACACCAAGGTGTGTAAGATTGAAGGGGTTGCTGAGGGAGATTTTTGTCAGTTACTTATCTTTTCTTGGTCTTGTCACTGTGTTGTCAGCTTAGATTTGATCAGTGGTTTACTGGAGAGTTTCCAGGTGCCCAGGCCAGTGGGTTTATCTCTACTGCAACACAAATCCTCAGTGCAGTTTGGTTTAGGAGCACTTGGTCTTGCAAAATATAGGGACTGGATGACTTTTACCAGTCGCCTTGTGGCAAGAATGTATGACGTGATATTTTGCAGCCTGTTCAGGGTATAGCTTTGTGTTCTTCAGACTGATGAGCTTTTCTTATTGAAATTAATAGTAGAGAATATACTGCCTTGCTCTCAGCCACTTGTTTATCTGTTGATGTCAGGCTGATCAACAGAGTTACCTTAATTCTATACTTGAGACCATGCTTATTATAAATTGGGAAAAAGTAAAAAAAACAAAAAAAAGCACCTGAAAATAATTCATTGAAGTAAAATCAGTCAGCTCTCTGAGCTCTCCAGCATTTCTTAAAAATCTCTATGCTGAATAAACTATGAAGAATAAAGATGTGTGAAATAGAATTTGTTGGCCTAGAGGCAGGCCTGGGGTAGCTGTGCTTTTCAAAAATCTTATGTTTACTAAAAGTCCAGTTTGATTTAATACAGAGTTTTAGTTTAATATTGTGCTCAGAAATAAATTGCCTATCCACTTAGGAAGTAGCTTTACAGCTTCCTTTGAATCCCTGTTTTGGCAGCTAAATCAGTGGGATGAATTTAGCTGAAACAGAACATGTTCCTTACCAGTTAAACAAGTCCAAAGTCAATTTACAATCTTCTGAAGTGCTAATTGAGGAAGAAGAAATATTTTACCTCAGTGTAATAGAACAGATGAGCAATTCAAGAAAAGAGAGTTACTTAAAAAGAAATGAAGGTGTATTCAGAAGCTAAGCTCCCATGGGCTTTTAGGCTTCAGGAGTAATTTTCAGACAGTAATGAAAGAAATTGTCCTGTCTTTGCTCATTAAGCTGTGCACATATATTGTAAGAATCATCACCAGATACAAATTTCTAGATCATACAATAATCACCCTTCTAAAGGAAAGATGTGGTGTTCAGATTACATTTTTTAGGGAACATGAGGTCATGGGATGCTATTGGATCACTTTGTGCTCTATTAGTGTCTTAATGTCGAGACCTCTTGGGGAAAATACATCATGAGGAGAAGAATGCATTTCACATGCCTTTCCATGAGAAAAGCCTTCCATGATTGAATTTTTTTTGGTGTTGGTGGGTTTTTTTGGTTTTGTTTTTTTGGTTTTTTTTTTTTCTGGTCTGGATTGGCATACGCATTGTAATTTGCAAGGATAGAGGGAGAGGTAATGCTGCTATTACTGACTGTTTATCTAGTGGAGAAAAGCTGATTGGTATAAGCACATGCCAGTAAAAGGTGTATATCAATTCTTCCCATGTAATTTATAGCAATTTGCCAGTAACTGTAGTCTAATAGGAAAAAAATCTAGCCGGTTTCTGTGCACTATATATGTATGTGTGCATATATATGGCGTTCATGTCTTATATGTGTACATATATAGACAGGCAGCATGTCTGAGTAGCAGTTTGAGTATTTCAGGCTGTTTTGGGGGATTTCTCCTATTTCTTTTAGGTATTTATATACATGTGATTTCTTACTGAAGTTAGCTTCCAAATTTCTCTTAGGAAAGCTATTTCCTAAAAGTGTAAGTTATAACAGCCCCTCATAGGACTGAAATCAGAAACCCTGTTTGACAGCGATTTTTTGAAGTTGTAGATCCAGACAAATCTAATTTCAGGTCTTAAATAGAACGTGCAGAAAATACATTCTGACATTTTGCTTTTTAAATGTATTTATTGCTTTGACTTTCCAGAGGGGACCAGAGTAGTGCTGCAAGTTACCTGACTGTGCTCCCCCGAGGAATGGAATGTGTTGTGTTCAGCATTGATGGTTCCTTTGCAGCAAGTGTTTCAATTATGGGAAGTGACCCCAAAGTCCGAGCTGGGGCCGTTGATGTTGTCAGGTAAGTGAGGTTTCACACTTCAATTTTGAACACAGTAGGAAGGATGAGGACAGATTTTTTTTTTTCTTACTAAATAAACAAATCTTTAAAGGCCATGATTCTTTGCAGATACATTTCTATATTTACTTGGACATCAGGTCTGCCAGATTTTCAGAGGAATCTTAGAACTTTGTGGTTTACTTCAAAATTTGTAGTGTAAGCTGCCTAAAGATTAGAACTTGCTTCTTGGGAATATGGACTTAAATTTGTGTGTGTAGTGAATTAACAATGATTCCATGTGTTACTGTGATTAGCAAAGAGTGTGTTTTGTGTTTCATTAACTTCACATAAGACATACTTCTCCTTAAATTAAAAATATCAAGTGCCATGAATGCAAGAGCGTTTTTTGGAAAAAAAATTAAAAGGTCTTTTAATCCTTTCTTGCAAGTCTGTTAATGTTGCACTGGATGGGGAAATACAGCTCTCATTTTGGAACTTGCATGGGAATGGAGGGATGCCAGTTTTCAAGGATTTCCACTCCTTATAGCTAAAATGGCAGGAAATCTTGTTAAAGGTTTCAAAGTTAGCAGGACTTGATGCGTAGCAAGGTCTATTTTAAATTTTATATAACATATTGTATAAGAATTTCTCTAGCTTCCCTCCATCTCCCTCAAGATGTAGACATTATTACTTAATTTCTTGACAGGAGCATAGACTTAGGCATGCTACTTTCCAGTTATTGAACGATACTGTCTGACTTCTACCTGGGTCTGTGCTGAGCAAAGAAATGCTGGCCTAGCCTGTGGATATCATTTCTCTTTTTGCACCTACATAATTTACCCACTGTTTCTGACAGGCATTGGCAGGACCTGGGATATCTGATTATCTATATCACTGGCCGTCCAGATATGCAAAAACAGCGTGTGGTTTCATGGTTGTCTCAACACAACTTCCCACAAGGGATGATCTTCTTTTCAGATGGACTTGTTCATGATCCACTGCGACAAAAGACCATTTTTCTCCGGAATCTCATGCAAGAGGTACTAAAAACCTGTTTATAGCCTTAAAACTTTTTTTCCAGGGAATGTCATTCAGTGAAGTTAGAGTTCTCCCTTCCTTTTGAACAGTAAATCTCACTGGCCATCACAAAGTCTAGTTGCCATTCCTCATTTTTTTTCCTCAGTTTTCAAAGAGCAAGAAAGGCTGATAAAACATCCCAAGAGGCCTCCTGGCATGGCAATTAAATAAATGAACTGCTTGTTCTTTCCTGTGTCCATATCTGTGGTTCTTGCTGGCATGCAGGCAGACAGATTTAGCTTTCTGTGGTTTACAGAATGAGGTTGTTAACAGTGAACTCATCTGCTGCTTCATTGCAAAACAAGTGCCATCCTTGTGGTGCATGGTGTTTAATAGAGCGTTCACTCTGGAAGTAATATTTGTTTCAGTGCCACATCAAAATCTGTGCTGCATATGGTTCCATGAAGGATATTTCTGTGTACAATGTCTTGGCTCTGTCGCCATCCCAGATCTACATAGTTGGACGATCAACAAAGAAATACCAGGCACAGTGTCAAGTAAGTAACTTTTGCTACTCAATCAGGAAGTGCTATGGGGAACAAGGAAATGCATGTGTGTCATCACACACACACACACGCACACACACACTGGATAAAGAGCAGAGACAGTGTTTCAGAGAAAGAAGGGCTGTTTTGGTTTCAGATGAGGCATTTTCTGGCAGGGTGAATAGTAAAGGGAATTGGGTGGTCATAGCTTGTATTTGCAAGTGCATGCATCACATTGCTGAATGACAAAATGGAACAGATCACTGAAAAAAAAGTAGGGGGAGAGGAGTATTAGTACTGTGCAGGTATCTAACTGGGATGCTGAATTCCTCATAGAGCTCACAGGTGGAGGCAGCAGTAATTTGTCACTCCCTTTCTTTCCTTCCTGTTTCAGTTCCTCAGTGAAGGTTATGCAGCCCACTTGGCCTCGCTGGAGTTCAGTCTCCATTCACGACCCAAAAAGAACAACTCTCGGATGATCTTGAGAAAAGGCAGCTTTGGCCTCCACTCCCAGCCTGAGTTTTTGCGCAAGAGAAACCATCTTCGCAGGACTATGTCTGTACAGCAACCTGACCCACCCTCTTCAAACCCCAAGCCAGAGCGTGCCCAGAGCCAGCCTGAATCAGACAAAGATCATGACAGGCATTTGCCCTCCATCGCTTGGGTTCGAGGTGGAGTTCACAAATTTGAATCTATCCCCTAGGAAGCTTGGAAATACAGATCTTGGGTGCACCCCATTAAACTCGTAGGCATGCCCCAGAGATAATACTTAGGCAGCTTCAAACTAAGAGATGTAGAGGGGCACCTGTCCCTCGGAGTCTTCCCTGCTCTGGAATCTGCCTTCTTACACCAACTGGGGAACTCCCAGTCTGTTCCTCTTGACGTGTTTATTGGGAGATTTTAAAACAATCTAAAACTATCGCAAGTGCTTATAACATCAAAGCAACAGAAAGTATCTTTGGTTCTTTTTTACAACAGATATATAATAAAACGTGCAATAAGAGAAAAAGCTGTAACAGGCTGATACTACTCAGAAGGAGGATTATGGTATCAGCTAACTAGCCGCACCCAAAACAGTATAAACAGTAGGTCCCATAGGTTACAGAGAAGGTTTACACTTGAAACATTAAATAGTTGTATCTGTTTCCACTTCACCTTCAATAAAGCGATACACTTGCAAGGGAAGCAGAGGTGAGAACTACAGTAATCCGTGGTCAGGATTTGTATAGCAAGACGCTTTTTGGGTGCCTTAAACCCAAGATTTCCTTTCATCTTACAGTGTTAGTCAACAGACCCCAACATGGGCAGTCGTGATTGTGAGGTGCTGGACATGAAGTAAACATGAGAACTCCACTTATGAACCAAACCATAAAAACTTCATGTTAGAAATAAATGTGTCTGCCACAGTTTGAAGCAGTTAGTGTTGCTGTATACAAAGTAATGTGCAAGTGTACAAAGATCATGTTGTTTTGTGGAACCTGCTGACTGTACAAAATGTGTGGACTGCTCTGAGTAAGGAGATGGCTCTGACCATCTCAGTCCGAGAGACAGATCCTACCTAGGATGGTAAGCTAAAGAGAGCTGTTTTACTAAGCGATCTGCTAACTTCAGAGCAATCACTTTTTTCATTATTCTAAGTAGATTTTTTACACTGGAGGAGAAAAAAAGTAATGGAATTCCTGTGGATAAATTGTTTACCTTCTCACATGTTATAGCAACTGTTGTGTTAAGACAATCTGTAGCATTCAGAATTACAGCATTTGATCTTCAAAGAATGGACATGACAAATTACAGGTGCCGAATAGATGTTTTCCTACTGATTTAAATTTATCTCAGATCTCTCAGTGAATTTACTAAAGTAAAATGTGTGAAATTTTCCCTAAGTGGTAATATTTCTGAAGTGTTGTGCGTAGTTTAACGTAGTAGCAGTTTGCAGATTCTTCATGCAGATACTTCAACTGTGCTACATTCACCAAGAGAACTTTCATGACAGAACTGAAGCATGTTTTAAAACCTGCAGTGAAGTTACAAGGGCATGTAAAACCCTTTTCTTTAAAAGTTAAAACCAGACTATTGACACTGAGAAGGCCTGATGTCAATAGATTTGTTTTTCAGGGTTGGTTGGTAGGTTTTAATGTCATGGAGTTGGGGTAGAAAGGGTGTCATGCCTCCCTTCACCCCTGCCCTTACTTTCAGGTTTTTCTAGTCTGTAGCTAGACTAGAAACAGTCTCTCAACAAGTCTGTTGGTTAATTATGTTGAAAGTTGGTATGTAAAACAAACAAGGAATGCAATAGAAAACTATTAAGGCAGTGCAGAAGTAAACTTAAGTCTGTACTCCCTATTCACCCAGAAGTTTCAGTGTGCTTTTTGAAGGGCACAGTACTGTGGCTTTTGCCTTAAAAGGAAGCAAAGTAGCTTATAAATGCAGATCTTTATTTTTTTAGACATTACTCGGCAAGATTTTTGATTACCCAGTTCAAACCTCCCGAAAGATCTCTGGCACATCAGTAGTCTGTTTTTCACAGTGCTTCCTTTAAGGGAGGGGGTAATCTTCACTGAAGATTTAGGAAAGATATTAAAAGTTTGGTAGCTCTCACTAATTGGAAGCAGGTGACTACATTACAGGGGGCTGGGTTTTTATGCTCTTTTGCCAAGTCAACCAACTACAAAAGCTAAATTATATCCACAAACTACGCTGAGGAAGTCTTCAGGTTTACAAGTGCTTTCCCAGTAGTATCACACCTAGTTCTTTAGCCCACAAACTTGGAGGAATTATTCTGCTTTCTGTCTTGGCCCACCATGTGTGTTAATTTCTTCTCCTATCCTCTGCAGCAGGAGGAGATTGCACAGGTACACCAGACCCCATCTCCCTCCAGTCAGCTCCTGCTTGTTAGTTTTAAATAGACATGGGAATCCAAGGCTTGTGAGGGAGGAACTCACTAGGCAAATTTTAAATTTGCTGAGGGGACCTAAAAGCAACATTGATTGGTCACTAAGTTCTTTTTAAGCACTGGGTGTTGTGTAGCATGTCTCCTGACAGTAATCACTGTTCCTGCTGCAAATTTCAAAGCTAATGTTGCTTTAGCCATCTACCTCTATCATCCAAGAGACTCCAAAATCTGTTTTTCTTTTTAAGTTGCTGTAGTAGAAAGGCCTACTTTATTTCAAAAGAGGGATCTGTGCATAATTCTGTGACTGTATTAAACGAACTAGTGTCTGAGCACAAGGTCAGAGAAATCTCCTAGGTTGTTAAGGTCCATCTTTTACTCTTGCAGACACAGTGTCATTTTGCAGGGTACCATGTCATGAAAACTCTGATTTTTGTGTATTTCTATTACTAACTGGGTCACCTTTACAGTAGTCGCCGTGCTGGCTTCTCTAAGAATATTATGAGCTATTCGTAGTAAAACAAATGCGTATGTGTGTGCATGATTTAAAGTGGCAACAATTTCAAAGTGTCTACACATGATACTGACATCAAGCTGAAAATATTTTCCTTAATTTTGTTTCCTACTACATATGAGAGCTGATGTGGTTTTTGCATAATTCCCACACTACTTACTGCTCAGGGATGGAATGGTTTAGCACCTGATCACATGCCTCCAGCTGTGCACTTTGGCAAACAGCGATAGAGGTATTAGCTTGGAGATTAAGGCTTCATGTTAATTAGGAGCCAATCTTCTGAAACGTCAGATGCCAGATGCATTTGTTTTGAAAGCACTAGCCAGTTGCCACTGAAATGGTAAAACAGCTTCTGTTAGAGTTGAGAATATGAACAAGATAAATGTGATTTTAGACATCTCACAAGCAGGCCAGCAGTTCAACAAATATTCTGTGTCAGTGGCTGGGGACCTCATGCATGTTAAGCCACCAGCTTTTTTTCTTTTTTTTTTTTTTCTCCCCTGCTATGCTTGGGGTGATCCCTGAGCATATCATGATGAATCACTAGTTTTATAGCATAGTTTTGCAATCATGTTTTCTCTTACATTTCCTGCTGGTCAGAATTTTAGTTATATACTTTGTCCACATGAAACTGCATGCAATGGTTCATGGGCATTCAGTTTGCAATTGGATTTCAGTTTTACTTGTGCTTTCACAGAAGGATTATCAGTCCTCCCAAGCAGGCCATTTGCTGGGGGGTAAGCTTGATCCTACAGTTTTCTTACTCTCTGATTGCAAATCCTCATTGCTGCAGTCGGTGCAGTCAGCACTTACTTAAACATTACAGGCTGTGGAAGTGTTAGAGCACACAGAGAGGGGAAGGGGACAGAGAAGTCAGGCAGGAATGGTGGGTGACCAAGGAACACAGGTTAGACTAGTCAGTAGTTTCAGCACCTCTAGTGCCTCCAGTCTGTTACAGAAAAGCACATTCTTTTAACCTGCAAAATGGAGAAAGCATAAGTGAAACTGTAAAACACAAAACTGGTATTTCAGTAGGTGCTAAGGCAGCAGTACAAGTAAGTACAAAGTAGGCCACAGCTGGAAGCATTTACTTCTTTGCCCTCTTGATACGGATCCATTAAATTGCTGTAAAAAAATGGCTGTGATTAATAGCACTGGTAGACTTACCTGAGATATTGTGAAAACACACCTTCATAACTGTGGTGTTTTGTTTTTGTGTGTGTGTATAGCTACTGGAAGACACCTTAAGTGAAGTTTTGGTTCTGCTTTCACAGCAAATTTGTAACCAATACAATTTTTTTTTTTAAAACAACAAACCACAAAAAACAATGAACAATTAATGGCTGTTTATTCAATTTTGTTGTCTAGTTAGGTAAGTTTGAAAAAAAGATATCATTGTATAGAGTGCAGAATATTCCACAGACCTGAATAGTGATGTTGATCCAAATTGCTTATTTTGAATAACTGGGGGTGGGGGTGGGTGTTAAGTGTTTGCATACACTAGTGCTCTTGGAACAGATTCTTGCTTGACCAAAGTAATCCTGTTTAGTTTTGTGGCATGGTTTATATCTATTCAGCTTAAAAATTTGTTAGGTGTAAAAATGGCATTGATAATTCTTCTTGTTCATTGGGGTTCATGAGACCTGCCATTTTGATTTGTTTACATGAAAATAGTCTTAATTCTTAAAGATTACTTCACCTGTTCCTCTAGTACTTAGGGAAGTCACTTCTAAACAGTTAAAACTTTCATTGGTTATGTAGAAGTGGGAGCTATCAGTAATCTAGAGAAAAAAAACAACACACCTTAACCTACTATTAAAATAAGCAGAACAATGACACTTTATCTGCAAGCTCCACCATTCTGCAAAATAGCCTTTGTTTGCCATTATAAGTGAACAAGTTGTCCCATTTATACATTGCAGTCTTCACACCAGGGCACTACTCATGTATGTATTTAAGCAAACCCCCCAATACTCATATCTATAATATCATCACATACTTCACAGAATAAATTTAGAAGGGAAAAAAAAAATCCTTTTTTCTGTAGGTTCCTGTCTTAAATTTGCTAAAAGCTTTGTTTATAAGCATTTTTAATATCTGAAATCAATAGGTATTTTCAGTTTTTAAAATTCGTAAGTGCAACAATTGTTACTGAACAAAAAGGATTTTCCCCAGGTTTTTTTCCCCTCTTGCATCTAAGCCTCAGAAAGGTGAGTACATCATAAAAGTACTAGATAATTGGAGCATGGACACCTTTTTATTAAGCTCATTGGTTTAGTCATGGAGACAAGAAGAGATTGTACACTAATTTTGTCATTTTTCAGATTAGAGCTTGAAATGTGGGATCTGAACTCAAGATTTCCACATTGAATTGTTCATTTCAGGCATGCAGGGGAGAACGTGGCACTTCCCATCCTCATCTGGAGCTGGTACAGGATACAATTCCCATAAACACAAAACTTAACATCTTACCTCCTCAGCATCTCTAAGAGCAATGATTCCTTATGGTCTGTGTTTATAGCTTCAGCAGAAATTGTGGGTTTAACAAGGTAATTTGACTTCCATGATGTTTAATCACTCAAGTGTAAATACAGGTTCCTACAAATGATCCTAAGTTCAGTCCCCCATAAAATAAATGGAGGTAATAACACATTTTTTGGGATGAAAAGAGCTCTTTTTTTCAGAAATAAGAAATGGCCTGGAGAAGTTAGAATCCTGTGCCATGGACTCTGGAATTTAAGTCAGGTGTTGGTATTTCCTCTTGCCCTCATTTTAGTTCAAGCTCAAGGTAAGGGGGTTACAGTTTACCCTCTATTTGTTTTTATCTCAGTAAACTACCTTTGAAACCAGATATATTTGTGGGGGACGGGGGAACATGGAACAAATTTGACAGTACGTTCCTCATTTGTAAGCATAACTTAGTGGGGGGAAGAGAGAGGCAGGATTACTGTGATGTGCTGGAAGATGGTATAGCAGAGATTACAATGTTGAAACATAATTTACAGGTTGCAAGCTTTAAAGATGAGGTTATTCTGGGAGGACTGGTGTAGGGCCTAGAATGGCAGTCCTCTCACAGAACCCCAAGCCTTCTGCATAACTTACTTTTCTACTTGTTGGGGAGAGAAGGGGGCAGTCCACTCACAACTGAATTCATATAAGGAAACTTGAAATTGTACCTGTTCTTTCACTCTATGGTTTTATTAAGTGCATACTTTTAAATATTGTTTGTCAGTGAGAAGGTTCTATCTGGTGACAAACGTTTATATTTCTTATGGCTGCCTTGTAAAGATTCAAAAATGTACAATAATGAATTTCTTAATATGAAATAAGGAGTAAGATTTCTACAGCTGGTATAGATTTTGATGTGAGCTGGTTTTTAAAATCTTATAACAGATTAGTCACTTAAATAAAACCTTCCTTGCCTTTAAACAGTGTCAATTATTTTTCTTACCAGTGATGTGGGATAATCACTGCACATGTGCTAGTAGCCAGTGGAAACAGTGTAAATAGAAGCTATTTAATACATCTGACTATCTGAAATAATGCCTAGATTGGAGGTTGACTTTTCACAAAACTCCAACCCTCCTTCCTCCTGGAAAGTCATATAAGAAAATATATCAGTAATGAGAGACCATCTTTGTGAAAGCTTTATAGAAGTAGTTTCAGTACATGCAAAGAATAACTTCAAGCTACTGTTCCATAGAGAAAGGTGGTTAAAACAAACAAAGAAACAAAACACACACAAAAACTACATCAAGAAGTAACACAAGCTAAAGCTCTCAGTTATCTGAAAGCCTGGAATTCAGGGTTGTTTTTATATCTTCAGGCCTCGTTAACTGTTTCAATATTTTAAAACACTGTAGTTTGACAAGAAAAAGGAAAAATCAGGAACAAATTTAAAATCAATACTTAGACATAAATCAGAATTGAACATGACTGCTTCCCATATTTATATTTAATACCATTAAAATTTTGGTTCCCATTTTACTAAATTGCATGTGCATCTTAAAAATTATCAAGTAGAGCAAAGTTTCCCAAATCAGTCTTTTGAAGGTTCATTTTAGAGTGACTGTAATCTGATCTGCCTGCACAAAGCTGCTACCATGGAAAACAGCCCTGGTGCTGAATTCTAGAAGCTTGAGAAATCTGCTTTAGTGTCAAAGACTTCGTTAAACTGAATCACCTACCAAAAAAGGCTTGTCAAATGACCATTACTTTTTAAAAAAAGTAATTAGAAACAAAATGCAGGTATCAAATGCTTAGTATACATCAGATAAAATACCTGCACTGGGATATTAGCTAGTAACAGTAACGTTAAGAGGTTACAATTGCAGTTACCAATTTCTGTGTATAACTGAAAGACAGATGTTGTAGTATAAAAGCAATGTTTAACTCTACTGCCAAGATGCTATTTAAAGCAGCAGCAAAAAATTAAAAAGCTCCTCTGATTTGTCTGGAACCCAGCTACTTAAGATAGGATGAGTTAGGCTTATCCTTAAGGCCATGAATTAGAGTCCTGATGTCGCTCCTCTCTTGTGGCAGGAGTGACTCTACAGAAACCTGTTGCCTTGGAATGGCCGTTGTGGTCAGAACTCAAACAAGACACTACTGTTCCATTAACTTCCAGTAAACATGATGTTACCTTTTGGTGTGTTTGTATACAGAAAAAAAAAAAGTTAGGTTTTTAAAATAATAGACCAATACTTTCAGTATGCAGAGTACTCATAATAGAACTCGTGGCAATTGGATACCAGTCTAAATACTGGTATTCATAAGTCTGTGGCCCATACTCTGGCCATTCCTACTGGTCAGTTCAACATAAGTTTCTAAGTACTTACTGCCTTATGAAAGTCACATTCAAGATGGTCCCTCACCTCAGCAGGAGATAATACACTGGTACAATTTTGATTCTCCTGTTAGCTTGAAAAGAAAAAGCAAAGGAAGTCCTGAGCTACTTTGTCAAGAAAGATTATAAATGTAATGGTCTGCACTGTATAGAGTGCACCCTATCAAGTGCTATATGTATAGAGCTCTCCTTGATCCACGTAAACTCACAATAGTTACAGCCATCTGTGTCTAGGTGTCAAGTGCTCGATGGAGTTTCTTCGCTTGCCTTTTGATAGCGTGAGAAAGTTTCCGAGATCGATGCACAGACTGTAAGTTCTGTGTCACTAGGTAGTAGTAGTTTGATATTGCGTGTTGCCTGCAGAAGAACAAGACAACTGCCATTAGCAGGATGAAGTCCATAAGGTTAACTAAATAGTCACTCAAATTGCTGGAAAACTGTTAGATGGGAGCAAGGAAGATGTCTGGGACGTGTACACTATCACTGTGCAACAGTTCTAAACACTAGCAAGAAAATATTTTGTTACCTTCAGTGAGCATAAATGGCAGTACACAAATTAAGTACTGCAATACTTTAATGAGCAACAGGAGCATTTCTTGTGATATAATCTGATTTATTAAAATGAAAAATATTAGAACTGAAGCTGGCAACCATGAACAGTTTGCTTCATCATGGAAAAGATGAAAAGGGAGCCATAACACTAAAACTCATGGCAACTGGATATCAAAACAGAAAGTCATATGCAAAACTGTAAGGGCACCTCCAAAAAGTTTATTTCAGTTATTCCAGTAGGTGACCTAGAAAACAGCCAGTGACAGAGCACACTGTGTGCATCTGCACATGCAGAAGAACTGGACCAAATTGCTCAGTGGAAGCAGTACTCCTCACTGTATTCAGGATGTAACTTTCCCTTAACAAAAGGAACACTTCCAGCATAATGGGTGAAGATACTAATGTCACAATACAGATCTCAGTGAAGGTAATAGAGGCATTTACCCAGTAATGGTTCGATGAATTGACACTAGAAGTGATGTTTAGAAATTTACAGCAACAAATTCCTGTTCCCATCCATTTAGGTACACTGTGTTTAAAAATGCCAGCAATACAGGTATCAACTGCTGTTATTGTGACAGCATGGTCTCAACTGCTAAGACAATGTTAAGGATGGGAAAGAAAGGCTGTAAAATTTTAGACAGCTCAGGGTAACTGTTCTGCCATGTGTTGTGATCTTCATTAGTAATCAGTGAGAAGTGAGGTGGAGTTACAAAGACATTAGTACCAGTAGTTTTCTAGTTTGGGGTGAGAAAAGCTGCTGTTTGCATGGAAACCCAACTTTCAGTTCACTGCAAACCCACAGGGTTTCACTAACACACAACGTAAAGGTGAAGTTCTACAACTGCACAATGATCTGCTGTAGCAGAGACAGCCACAGTGAATCTGAGGGAAGAACCCTGTAGTTCTGCATAATAATACTTTAAAGAAGCATCAGTTAATAAGCCTTTCTCCAAATAGTAGATTTTCTCACCACAGATGCATGCAGGTATAGACAAGGTAAGTGAACAACTACTTTACCTGGTTACTATCTTCAGTTACGAATGAGAGAAACTGTCATATCACTAACAGATGGGAGAATATTAGGAGTGAGATTTAGTGAACTTTCAATGGATATGATCATTAACTTAATACAAATTTAACCTATAGTTATCTAGAAACGGTTCCACTGGTAAAAATCTAATTTCTGGAATTACATAGGATTTTAAGCCTTTACCTCTTCGTAGATAAAAGTACTTGATGCCCTCTCTAGAGGATTTTAGATGCTTGACATTTAATTATTGAATGCGTGACATAAAATCAACAAATGTTCTGAGAGGAAGCTTGAGGGAATTGCCCTGTGACAAGACTTCTGACCTTTAGTTTTTACTGTCTTAATATGTCTAACTCAGACTGACGTAACGTTTACAAACACAGCAGCCTACCACCTCGTGGATTAACCAAGGTGTTGTATAAGAGGCTTCTGCATCCTCTGAATTGTTGAGTTATGGGTACCACAGACTATTTGTGAATACAATGCTACCTACTAAAAGGATTTTCTTACAAATGTGCAATGACACCAGTGACAGTCAGTGCAGTGGGATTCCCCCAGCCCCTATTGGCACCTATTTTAGACAGAGACAAGGAGGTACTGTAATGACACAGCATCAAAGGTAGGCTCTTGCTGGAAAAAATCTGACTTCCACAGCAAGAAACATGAAGACAAGGAGAGCTTTGACAAGTTTTAGAAGCTGCCAAGTCAAATTGCAGATTTAACCTGCACAGGTTTAAACTGCAGATTTAATCTGCATAAGAAATGCTCTGCTACTTTACAGCTGAGAAATTTCTGCAACTGTTCCTCATCCTGAGTTACAGGGATCACTTAGCCTGCAATTGCCAACGTCCAAGTGGGAGAAAACATGTTGCTTAAAGTTGAGGGACAGTTAGTGGTATTCACCTCTCCTCTTGCACAATGGCATCATCAAAAGCCTGGGAGATATGCTTCAGTTGGCAGATCCCTGAGGAGACCAGCTCCAACTCACAGTCAAACTCCCTGTAAACAGAACAGTCATTACTAAAGATAGAACAGACTGAGTAGGTGACACTACCCAAGCCTCTATCCCTGCAGTAACAACTCTAGTTACCTGCAGACTTTACCCAGAGAAGTTTAGGGCTGTAGCAATCATGCTTTTAAGTCTACTGATCAACTGCTTCACACCTCTGTTCCTCCCCAAAACAGCTGTCTTCCAATTCAAACAGTGGGTTCAGATTCACAAGGCTTGAATTCAGCTTCTAACTCTGACATTTGTGTGACTCAACCAAAACAGAAACCCGTGTGTGCATTATGAAGTATTACCTTAGCTCACAACCCTTTATCTAATTTGCATTAAATCTCTAAGGCAATAATCTCTCTACTCTTTCAAGAGCCCAGCATAAGCACAGCTATTCCAGGTATCTTTGTAATACAAATACCAACTTTGGAAAAGTTATAGCTAAGTAGAAGTGAGATGCAATGAGAGCATTTTTCTTTGCTGGAAAGGCATCAGCAAAGAACTCAGGTATGTCTTTAGGAAGGGAGCAGCCACAGCTTCTCTGGGCAACCTGTGCCAGGGCCTCACCCCCCTCACAGGGGAGAATTTCTGCCTTAGATTTGATCTGAATCTCTCCTTTGTCAGTTTAAAACCATCACCCCTCATTCTATCCCTCCCCCCTTTCCTGCAGCCCCTTTCAGCCCTGGGGGGCTGCTCTAAGGTCTCCCCGGAGCCTTCTCTTCTCCAGCTGAACCCCCCAACTCTCCCAGCCTGTCCTCACAGGGGGTGCTCCAGCCCCCCAAGCATCTCCATGGCCTCCTCTGGCCCCGCTTGAGCAGGTCCATGTCCTTCTGCTGTTGGTGCCCCCAGAGCTGGACCCAGCCCTGCAGGGGGGTCTCCCAGAGCGGAGCAGAGGGGGAAAATCCCCCCCTGGCCCTGTGCCCACCCTGCTCTGGGTGCAGCCCTGCACATGGGGGACTTTCTGGGCTGCTAGCGCTCGGTGCTGGCTCAGGGGCAGTTTTCCACCCACCAACCCCCCCAAGTCCTTCTCCTGGGGGCTGCTCTCATCCCCTCCTCGCCCAACCTGGGTTTGTGCTGGGCTTGCCCTGACCTATGGGCAGGACCTTGCACTTGACCTTGTTGAACTCCATAAGGTTTGCACAAGCCCATCTCTCCATCCTGCCCAGGTCCCTCTGGATGGCAGTGTTTCAGCTTTATGTACTGCTTGGTTCCTGTCTGTACAGGGACCTGTAATTACTTTCTTAACTATTCAGACAGCACACCCTTTCAGGGAATAGGATAGCAACCTTCATATCTTGCCTTTAACATTACAAGATACTGTAATTATAGTAATTAAAAATAGAAAAAAGCTTTACAGAAGAATGTGGCTTACATGTTTCTGCTGGCAGGAGCAGGTGATGAATAAGGGCTTTTCAGTGCTGCTGCTCTTCTTGATCTCCGGAGAGAGACAGCATCTTTACCAAGCCAGGATGAGAAACCCCTCCATTCTCTATGTTCTGACACCCTTGTTGGCCCAAGCAAGGCTCTTTTGCTGGATCTTGGGGTGTCTTTGGAACTGCCTGCCAGAGTAACACTCTTCTTATGGCAAAGGGTTCGAGGTGTAGTACTTCTTTTCTTGGTAGAACTGGTTGCACAGCTTCTGCCAATGGATTCAGCTGGAAGGGTCACCACTGAGCGGACAGGGCTTTGGTAAGTCTTCTGTATTTTCTGAAAGAAGCATTAGACAGACGTGTTATGCTAAATGAACTCAGTTAGCCTAGACTGTGGAACCAGAAAAACAAGGAACATTTAAGCTGAACCCCTAGATTTCATTCTCGTATCAGTTTGGTCTAGCATGAATGCTTATCAACCCTCTGTACTCATTTGCACTGTAGGAGTCATTGGCTTCCCCAGTCCTTGGACCTTGTCAAGAACTTCAGCAGGCACTGGAACAGAGCTCCTGAGCTCCCGCTGCTCTTATGCGGGAAAGAGCCAGGCTTCCTAACAGATAATTGATGCGGTTAAAATCAGAGGTCTCCACCAAAGGGAAGTATTTACAAGCTCGAGTTTTGCTACCCTGCTACCATCTAGCAGTTTTTGTCAGTGTAAATTTAGATTGACTATAATGAAGAACATGCTAATAAATAGTATGGGTACAGGAAAATGAGTAAAAAAAAATTAAATCCAAAGCTCTACACATTTCTCAGAAACAATTCTTTGCAAGCAATGGCAGTCTCTACCCTTATTCCTCCTTGTGAAGGCTGCTCTGCCATGCATGATAAAATACAGTAGGGGACAAGCATTTATTCAGTAATAATATAAAAGTTTTGATGAAACTACATCTCACAGTTCTTCTTTTCACCTTCCTCCCTGTACTGTCAGATCCCTAATTTGCCTATCTGTACTTTAGCAAGGATATTAAACATTTTGAAACAAGCATTACAGTGTGCAAGTGTGTGGCACAGACTCTCAGGAATGCAGCATTCTGTAGAGTCCAGAAATCTTAGTACTGAAGTTGAAGCAAAAACTAAACTCTATCCATGTTCCACTGCAAAGGCAAAGTACCTGGGATACTGTTCCAAAAGCATTTTTTGCTGTTGTTTTAATACTCTGAAGAGTTTGGCGCTTCTGTCTTGCCTCCAGACTTTGCCAAGTTGGGGTCTTACGAAAATTCAGCTCTACTTGCTTTAATGGTACTCGCTTCCTTAGAGACATGCGGATGGTATTGAGGGAACTCGAAGCAGCCCTTCTCTTGAATTTGTCAGGTACAGGGCTCTCATTCTCATCGAAGTCAGCTAGGAGCTCATGTTTCCGCCAGGCCATTGTTGCCTTGACGCTTTGGAGCACAGATATCATCTTGTTCCAGTTCTTTGTCAACCTTATTTCTGAAACAGTCAGAATGAGAGCAAGAATTAGAGCAAGGTACAGAGCACTGTGAAAAAGGAGAAATCAGAATCATCATACAATATATTCAGTTACATTCGCCTGAAACAAGATCAGAGCTGAGCAGACTTTTACTTGGAGGAGAACAGCCTTATTTCTACAGCTGTTCAGGTCTGTGCATGCCCATGAAGTTTTATACTGCATTTCCAGCACTGGACATCAGACCTTGGTGAGCTGCAAGACTCAAGCTTGTGAGGTAGCATGCTCAGTAAGTGCAAGCTTCTTGTTGGTGTCTCAGACTAAGGTCTTATATTCTAAATGTTTGCCTTCATTAACCAAAACAGCCTTCCACTGCTGGACAGATTTACACAGCTACTCTGGTCTTGTGCCTGCGTTGCTGAAGGCTCAGGCTTAAGTCACAGTTACGGTTCTGGATACATAAATCCTGAAACTGCCAGGATTGTTACTGGCAGCAGACATGGGTGGAAAGGGCCAAAATGCCTGTTATCTATGTGATATATGACAACTTAAACATATATATAGTTTAAAATATTTTCTCTAGCTATCAAGCTAGGATACTGGTAGTGAATTACTTCTAAAAAACAATTTAAATGCAAATGTATTTTAGCAATCTGAATTGAGTGTGAATTAATTTTACCAATACTTCACTGCAGATTGTTATTAAAAAAAGCAGGGGCATCTCTACCATAATTATACCACATATTAGGAAAGCCCGCTGACCCTCCTTACTATCTCTAATCTCCCAAATTATCTCCATCTCCACAGGTGTCCTTACTTGTGTCAGAAAGTAAGAAGGTTTATTGAAATCTTTTAGTCCTGAAGGTGTCTGGGATATTAACACCTTTGATGCCTTCCTGCATGTGGCAACAAGGAGCAAACCGGTAATAGGGGGCAACCAGTCAGTTCTCCTCACAGCCTATCCAGCCTTCTCCTGAGAAACTGCTAACTACTGTTGGTTAATTTATGCTGAAAAAGACTACTCGGGAGAAACGCCCCGAAGGGCGCAGCTGCCGCCCCAGGGCGACGCTGATCTGATCTCAGACGGGCACCCCGGCGCTCCGGTGCCCGGGAACCCGCC